GAAAAGGAGACACGTTGACCCTTAGTTAGGCCTACTGCAAACTATCCGTTTATAACTTAGAATGGATGTAGATTTGACCTATAAAAGGGCAACAGCCTTGCTGAGTCTCAGATTTCACTTGTTGTGGAACTTCTTGGAAATACTAAACAAGGAAACAATTTATGCTTAGCACAATTAATTACTTGATAAAAAAAATAGCTTACTTCTTACGCTTAACATTTTTTTTTGGCTTAGAGAGAGAGAAAAGGTTACTAGTTAAAATGTCGTGCATGCCCGGTATTGCATGTGGTTAGTTCTCAGCGCTTAAATGTGTACGAGGCCCTAAGTTCTGCCTGGCCCAGCAGCCTCAATGAATTGGACCCCGACATATCCGCATTTAGAGCTTGCCGAATCAGAAGACTCAATTTTCTCTGGTGATATATGTTTGTTTCCCCTCCATTTCAGAGGCTACCAAGTACATGCAGAACGCTCTGATAGCGGCTGTTCCTGCCGCCCACGCCGGGGACGATGTGGCCATCTTTGCCCACGGGCCGATGTCCCATCTCTTCCACTCCGTCCACGAGCAGAACTACATCATGCACGTCATGCAGTACGCCGCCTGCATCGGAGACTTCGCGCCCAAATGCCACTGAGATGCCGGGATCCCTGCCGTCCTGCAACAACCCTCTCTTGAGCCCTAAACGATTAATCGATCCAATTTACGATAATTATTTTACACAAAATACGGTCAGTACATTGCATAATGTCACTTTAATCTGCGTGCAGAAACAGAAGTTCTCCATTTGACAAAAATTAAACTTTGGACAACCAAGTCTACTATAGTAAGGTGGTTGAACTTGTTGTTGTGGAAACTCGACTCTTCCATTTTGAAGTCATTTTCTTCCGTCGAGACACAGACGCATTCATCTAGCAATACACGAGGAGAATGGCCGATTCCTCGGTGGCAGTTCACGCAAAAATAGTCCTCCAAGAATACTGCCGAAATTGGTCAGTAGGTGTGAATTTTTTTTTTTTTTTTTTACATATTCAGTCATTCACCGTCAGCGTTCGAGCTATTGAAGAATGACCTCCCTTTAGAAATTGGTATTACGAACTTTCTATTTCGATTCTCATTTCTGACATTGTTTACGCGAAAGAGAAGGGTTGATGCAACGGAGAGCTTGATTGGCTGCTCATTGCTCATGCGCACTTGCGCAATATTCCGTAGATCTAGCCAATAACAAAAGAGCAATCGTTTATTAATCTGAATTGGTGATTTATTTTGATGAAATTTAATACGCATGTAATTTTGATAATGATTATTAAGAAAATCGTTTATTTTTACGTGCAATACAATGTCTTGACTCAACATGCTTTCTCAAAATCGGTACAAGTTTTCTTGACGATTTTTTTCTTGCTTTCAGCAAAACAAATAAAAAACATCCACCTTACCCGAAAGATAATGGTTCTATAACTATGATCATGACATGTTATATCGACTGCATGTTACAGTTTGGTGTGTGGGTAGTAATGCATGAAAATCATGGAATATCCGAAGGCTCTTTGTGTCAATATATATATCTGTGGAAAATCAGAAGAAAGTAAAGGAGATGAACGAAAAATAAAGAAAGTATTTTATGAAAACCGCAACCGATTATTGTTTCACCCACTGGTGTTTATTTAAAATGGCCCTGTCGTCTTTGTCACGAAAAGAGAGAAACCACGAGGTGTGACTTCAGAACAGCATGTGTGCTTGTTGTTCAGCAGCATTTCATTAGTAAGTTTTTGGGAGTGTTTGTTTGTTGGGTTGTTTTGGTTTGTTATTTGGGGGGTTTGTTGGGGTGTTGGGGTGTTTGTTTGTTTGTTTGTTTTTCTGGTTTTTTTTTAATTTGTTTTCTTTGTTTATTTTCTCTTCATTTATATATTTTTATTTGCATTGTATTCTATTTATTTTCTGTGTAGACATTTCGAGCATGGGTAGGCAGGCCTTAGGGTTACAGTGTTTAAGTACACTTTTGTTTACCCTGGCCGGTTTGAAATGTTATATTGTTCTTGTTTTCCGTCCCTCTATCTCCTCTCCCCTGTCAAACTGTCCACCCTCCCTTCCCTCCCTCCCCCTCCAACCCATTCCTACTTGCATCAGTCTTTAGTCTCGTCTGGTCTTACTTTTCAATTTCTATTTTTTGTTTACTTTCTGATTTATATTTGCTTTGTCATTGTACTTGTGTTCATTTGTTGGCCGAATAAATAATAATAATAATAATAATTCACGATACAACAAGGACAGACTGGAGTCAAGACTAAATTGGGCATGTTAATCCAACCCGGATGCAGCTTTTTTTTTTCCCTGCCGGATATCCATGAGGGGTTTTCCCTAAAAAGTATGACGACCCTGACCTCCAGGTGCGTAGGGAAAGTGGGTCACAAACCACGTGACATCCCTGAACTTTTCAAGAGCGTTGGACTATGCGAATCATTAGGGCCCATGCAATGTACTTTTCAAATGCAATCCTTGAAAATGCACTTTAGTTTGTGCCCAACTTTACCTTATCTTCAAGGGTATTTTGATACCCTTTTTCAATTTTTAGCTAATGCAATTTTCCACACCCGTAAGCAAAAATGTGATGCCCTTTAAGACACAAACCTCAAGCACCATATCTTCGTAAACTTTCTTTGGTGATTTTGTGTTGTGTCACTACATACATGGCATTAATAACCCAACGAGCAAACGTTTCTCACTAATGTTATTATTTTTTTTTCAATGAGAAAATGTTGGGATCACGATTTGAACAGAAAACACGTTAAATTGAACACTGTCTTCCTGAAATGACATCATAGCAACAGCGCTCTCGGTTGCCCGAAAAAGCATGGAACATTCTGAACCTTTAAAAGAAGTGCACTTTTTAATAAAATGAACCAAAACGGAATGTCAAATATATGTTAAAAGGAGTAGAAAGTTGCACAAAATGTGTTCCTCAGAAATGTCATCTCCTGAACCCTTTTTGGCTGCCTCGGTGAATTTCTTGGCTGTTGTCGTCCGGAACACAATTAATGCGCCAATGTTTAAAGGGAATATACATCATTTGCTTTTGCTGTAATTTTCAGAAATAGGTGGAATTGGGGGGTTGGAAATATATAGCAAATATAGTTACACTTACTTTTTTGAGGTTTTGGGTTCGAAAATGCTATAAAAACCAAGAAAAACAATCATTTTCCTGTAGTCTGGTTCCCTGACTCCATATAAGAAGAAACAAAGCAGTTTACATACATTGGGGAATTATAAGGTCAGGGAACCAGTCTAGCTGGCTTGTACCCGCTCATAGGTGTGTAATCGATTGCAAACAAGTGCGATGGTCAATTGGGGCCAGTATTTGAAAAAAAGCCAGTTTTTCCAACGCTGATCGGCCGACCAGCGTTGGAAATTGATACAAAAATACTACTTTTCTTGAAAATGGCAGTATACCAGGTGCCATGATTTTACAGGATGCTTTACACTGTCATTCACTAACAGTCCGGCAAGGTATTTCAAAATGATTTGGTAGTTTTATTTTTTTATGTTTGCAAATGTTGTATTTTCCCTTTAACCCTAAAAGGGCCGGGGCGGAATCCGCCCCCCCCCCATCAACTTTTTCCGCGATAGCCTTAAAAAAAAACCCGAGCTGTTATGACTTTTTAGCCTCGAGCCTTGCGCATCTTTTGATACCAAAAACATAAAAATCGGACCACGGGTTGCCGCGTAGCAAAAAAATTTCCGGCGCTAGCTGAATTTTTCCATATACGTCGTGTACACAGAGCAGAATTACCATTCGTACATACGAATAATTAACTAGCCATAATTCCAAAACCCTTTGACCTATAGTCATGAAATTTCTTGGGTATGTTTATGATGAGTCGTTCTATGCATGTACCGAGTTTCAAATTTTTTCGTCACTCGATGGCCGAGATCTTAGGGGGGGGGGCGGAATCCGAGAGATGGTCAAAATAGCCCGGCCTGATAATAGGGTTAAGCGGTTGAAGTCGCTAGCCATAGACTGCCGGCCATAACAAATCACTTCGCAAACGACATCGCTCAAAATTACTTGCGCAAGAGTCCTCTTAACCTAGGAGGGCGCTATTAATGGGCCGTATGCACGAGTTGACCATTTTTGTCAAGTTCCCTGAATATATTTCATAAATTGTTAACTGTTGAATGGGATGGCGCCAGACTATTTATGCAGCCTTATTTTATTGTCATTTTTTTTATAATCTGGCTTGAAACATTAGGGAATGTGTAATTACAAAGTTTTAATTATTCATTGAAGCAGACTTGATTTAATTAGTAATTTACTTGCTTTCCTTTCTCTTCGCAAGTTCCCAAAATCAAGATTTTACCTTACTTTCAATTCAATATGGCCGACTCGTGCAATAAGGCCCACTGGTTTAAAATACTAAACTTCCACGTTATAGCAAGCAAACGAAACAGTTCACACACCAGAACCAGGCCTATAATGTAAATTTTCCTGCCACCTTGAAATCATGTTTGTGCGCTCAAGAGAACTTGAGAGTAACGCGCTCAGCACAACCGTATACCAACTTTAGTACACACAAACATAACGAACAAGCTGGACCCCATTTGTCTCTCTCATTCTCTGAAAAAGTTATGTTATACAAAAAGCCATGACCCACGTGACCCGGCCTCTTGATCTTCCGGCCAAGCCAGAGCGTGTCTGTTGTTTCATTGATCGGCGTTGTTCGTGTCTGTCTGTGTCGCTTGTGTGTCATCATCAGCCAAATATATTTCCAGTCCCCCAACCCTAACAAATATGTGAATAATGTCGGCTTTAAGTTATTGCAAAAATGTTAAAAGCATTCAAATGCAGTCAATGGACTAAAGAACCCCTCCATAAACCCAATAGAGATCAGTGCATAAACCAATATGAACCAACCAGCAAACGAAACAGTCAACTTTTACCAACAAACAAACGAAGCAAACAAACCAAATGACACAACCAGAACACAGCTTTATGGGATTTTAGCAAACTTTATTGAGCTTTAACTTGAAATGCGTACTTAAACTGCCTAAAGGATCCAATGACATTCAAAATACACAAGATTTAATACCGCACTGGCTTATGTTTTTTTTTGCCACAGTGTACGTCCCATTAAAGACGCAAGGAAAGCCTGGACCTTATTTCATCGACTTCTAAACTTGCACACATAATTATTAATCGCCTGTAAAACAAAACAAGTAGCGTGGCGGAGAAATTTTGCTTACGGTAAAGCCTCCATGCAGCTACCATTAGTAGGGCCCAGGGGAATCAGCATTTATGGGAGGGGCTCAAGAGCGCACCTAGACCAAATTCTAGGGGAGGGGGCTGGCCAGCTGGCCGCTGCAAATTCGACCAGTCGGGGGGGGGGGAGGCTGGTTGGACCTTAGTTTACGCTAGGGGTGTTCTCCTTTTTGGTATCTCTTTTTAATCACATTTCACAAAATGAATGAGTAGCATTGATGTAAGACTAGTCGTCTAAAGTCCTCTTCTTCGGGGGGGGGGGGAACTGGGTGCCCCCGACTAAGCCCTTTGTTATTAATTTATGTGTCAAACCTGCTTAATGCATCAAATATTAAAATGATTGAAACATTTTCACAGCTATTCCTGCAATAAAAAATTGACCTAATTTAAAACAGGTTCAAGCCTTTTTTCCCTTCCAAAAACACACCAAAAAAACCCAGAGAGGAGCTTTTCTTCAGGCAGAAAATAGAAAAATAAAAGGAGATATGATTATTGTCGTAGTGCTCAAGATAAATTCTGTGTACCCCCGGGGGGGGGGGGGCTGGAACATTTCATGGGGGGGGGGGGCGTCATGTAGATCAATGATAATTTTTTTAGAAACTCAAAATCTCAGTGGGGGGGGGGGGGGCGACTGGGTGGCGACAAGGTTTCATGGGGGGGCTGTCGTCCCCTCATGCCCCCCGTGGCTACGTCACTGTTTCTGGTGTAAACGCGGTTGACTGTCTGAAACTCAGCCCAAGAAACCTCTTCGTTCTCTGAACAAATTAAAAGGGACAAAAATGCGAAAGAAAAATCAAACATAATAGCCTAATTAATCTGCCTTTATATGAAGAAGACCCATACGACATTACTTTGAAAATAAAAATAGTTGAACCCCTCCAGACGTATACTTTTGATGTCACGTGACGGGATACTAGATACGAAAGGAGTGATTTGATTGGCTCCTGAATGTTGTGCGGCATGCATAATGCATGACCGATGCGATAACCATGAATGTACGGTGTATATACCCTCATTTCGGCAGTGCAATGCAGGAAAGTAATTTGCATAAAGTTCAATACATCAACAAGTTCCTCATCAGAGGCGGGTCTATTTTCAGAACCCCCCCCCCCAAAAAAATAAAGATTATGTAAATATTTTGCAGCCTGATTTTTCATGTTTACTTCTGGAAAGAGATTTATAAAGTTTATTCCATAAAAACGCAAAGACGTTAAAACCTATTTTGAATCGAGCCCAGTGGAATTTATAATTTTGAAATTTAAGCTGGTTTCCAGACTGTCAAATTGTATAGCAAGCAACTTTGCGAAACATTATAGGTGCAGATTACCAGGCAATCGTCTTAAAAGACTGGGACTTTAAGATGCATACATATTGTTTACTGGTTTTCCCAACGAAAATCATTAACAAAAATCTTACCATCAGTATCCACGCTCTCCAAGAACGAAGCGAAGTTGACCACGCCCCCCTTGTGGGCGTGCCACTCCTCGACAGACAGGGAGCCGTTACCATCGATATCCAGCAGGGAGAAAGCGCCCGCTTTCGTCGGCTGACTCACAGACCTCTTGAATATTGGTATCAGAAAAAATAACAACGGAGTTTATTAATTTAGTAGGCCCCTGAAGTTTACTTTTCGTTTTATAATGCAGAGGACAAAGATGGTTTGTTTACTTGTTGTTTAATATACCTAGATTTTTTTCTGTTGACAAGAAAAAACCTGGTTAAATTTATTTTTGTTTACCAAGTGAACTCTTGTTCAATCCTGCTATTAAAAATAAACATTTTTTTCAGAAGAAATATAGGCGAAATCTTCAAGGAAACTAGATACTTTGAAGCCAGTGTAAACCATGTGTGACAGTTTGATCACAAAACACGACTTCGTCTTATTCTTAAGATGAATTAGCGTTGGGGTAAAGTAAATCAATATTAGGTTTTGCCCTTCACCGACGTTAACCCAATATTGATTTGCATCATCCCGACGCAAAATTCAAATTGAATAGTTTAATTGCGGTACCCGCTGGTACATGTACATCCGATTCGAACCAGCCAACCGATCTCGCAAGCTCGGTGGTCGAGTGGTAAGATGTCTGCACTAAAAAGCAGGAGGTTGGGGGTTCGAGTCCCACCCGAGTGATTTTGTTTCAAACTTTCACTCTGGACGGGTAACACACTGAGTATACGGTGTTTATACGTCGGTGAAGAGCAAAGCCTATGATATAAACGATTTCGTCTTCACAGATTCTTGATTGCTTCTAAAATGACAGCAAACCGCTCGGAATATAGTCATGGGGTATTTATATATACGATGCAAATTAAGCTATGTCCCTTGACCCTTGCAGAAACTTGAGAATGTTCCTGTTCCTGAAGGCACTCAATCTTTCTCTCCATAGGAAAATGAGAATGAAGAAACATTTGAGTAATAATTTAGGGAGCTATTTTCTTGACAATCAGCGTGAACAACTAAAACATAACAAACAAATGAAGCATTTGTTTTAAAAGTTGGTTCTTACTCGAATCTGACCGCCACGCCAACCTCCTTCTTGCCGAAGTTAAATTTCGGCTGGACGTAAACGCCGGGAGCAACCTGGGCGCCATCTTTGAATACGCCTACTACAGGGATGTCACCAATAAACTCCTCTATTGGGTTTGGTCGTGGTTGTGGTACTTGTATTTGTGGTAGTTGTGGTCGTTTTGGTAGTAGTGGTTGCTGCCAGTTTTGCTGCCAATTTGTTTGTGGTTGCTGCCAGTTGAAACCTAGTTGTGGTGGTGGTTGCTGCCAGTTGAAACCTAGTTGTGGTGGTTGTGGCTGCCAGTTGAAGCCTCCTTGTCCCAAGGTGCTTCCCACGCCAACAATCAGAAGAAACAAGGCGAATCTTGCCATTGTGCTTTAATATTAATCTAGAAAAGATACAAGACTGGTTAAAAAAACCCTGAAGTTCAATAATTATTCATAAACATTCTCCCGTTTCATAATGCATAGCTCAAGTAGGATTTACTCCAACAAAATATTTCATAGAGCATTCAACAGAAAACAATTAGGGATCCGAGACAGAAATGCCTGATGAGCAGTTTGCTCATTCGGAAAAATAGAGATTTATATTTTTATATGCTCATGCATAGATAATTAGGAGAGGTACCGGTCACGTGAGAGGGTTTAACCAATAAAAGGGGAAAAAGAGTCCGATTTTCATATGACACCGGCCGTGATCTTTGCCTAGCTAGGATCGGGCCAGAAGAATACAAAACACGTGATTCCAAACATGCATTTACATGGCTACGTCACTATAGATGTGGATATAGCATTTCGCTCAAAACTTTCTGAACTGGAGCGCACCATTTAAAACCACTTTTTAAAACTATATATAAAGGCCTGCAAATGCAAACAAGCAAATTTATTTGTTACAGGATATTCGATTCCTTTAAAATTCGTTCGGAAGAGAAATTTTAAATTTTTGAAAAAGCACGTATAGACCAGCTTTAAGTATTGCGACAATATACTAGTGGTCCCATGTCACATCATGCATGGAGCAATAGCTTATGATGGTCACGTGACTGAGAGTCACTCCCGAGTGCAGATGTACGCCACTGCGTATAAGAGCGAAAACAAAAACCCACATCTCTGCGTTCTAAAACAATGTATATTACCCACTGAGATGAACCCTACTTAAGATTTCGATCCATTTTGTTGCTTTAAACGAAAAATAGAATCGCTGAGGATGATTCGTCAGGTCAAGTTGTTTAGCATTCGCCTAGAAGTGGCCGAAATATTCCCGTAGAAAGTGGGTTTATAATTTGTTGTGGATGGCCATAGAAATGAAAGATAACTCGCTTAACAATCTAACTGGCACATGAGTAAGGACCAATGATGCACCCGGCTCAAGTTAATTTCTATAGGCGAAGATCAAAAAGAGACAATACTCACTGATTTCTTCAAACTGTCCGCTCAAGATGGCTGTGATGATGATCGGTGAGAACTGATGCAAACTAAGGCGAATCAAGATGACCGAAATTGTCAAAACCCAAGACGACCGTGATTTGCAAGACGCACATCCCGATATTTATAGGAAAATAAAGCGGATGCTTCTTTGGAGCGATTTCAAGAAGGTTGGCCGAATGCCACCTGAAATAACAAAGACATCCTCCTCACCTAATGTTCTTCTTAAGTAAATTCATATCCCAAGTTTTTGGCAGAGTTAAATGGCGCGAAAGGGACATCCCCTGGTGAACACTTTCTTGGGCCGAATGACAAAGGGGACTTTTTGAGTTTCTTACCGACCAGTCTTTTGTAGATGCCCGTTCGAGTCGTTCTTCATCCCTCTGAAACTTTTCTCTAAAAGAACATGCTCAATGAGTTTGGAGTTCAGAACATGACCAATGTTCCACCAAGGAGAGACTTGAACGGAGACTAAATTCGTTCATGTTGATCCAACCCGGATGCGATTTATTGTTGATCGGATATCCATGCGGGGTTGCCCAAAAAAAATCCCACGGCGAACACAGTTCCCCCAAAATGTCCCCTGCTCCCATGTATGCAAATAGCAGAAACAGGTCACGTGATCATCGTACACTGTACACGAGGCATCATTCAATGGAGAAACCATTGTGCACGTTATTAATGATTCTTTTCCTAGCAACATATTTTGTGCAACTATGTAATAATATATACTCCTCTTAAGTGTATGAAAACTATTTGACATCCCTTTTTTGGCTCATTTTATTGAAAAGTTTACTTCTTTAAATATTTGAAAGTTCCCAGGCTTTTCCGGACAACTGAGGGCGCTAATGCTGTGATGTCATTTAAGGAAGACAGTATTCAATTTAACGTGTTTCTGTTCAAATCGTGAACCCAACATTTTCTCTTTGAAAAAAATAACATTTGTGAGAAACTTTTGCTCATTGGCTTAATGCCATGTACTGACACAGCACAAAATCACCAAAGAAAAGAAACTTTACGATATGTTGGTGCTGAAAATGCTGTAACATTGAGGTTTGTGTCTGAAAGGAACACATTTTGTGCAATTTTCTTCTCCTTTTAACATGTATTTCACATCCCTTTTTGACTCATTCTATTGAAAAGTGCACTTCCTTAAATATTTGAAATTGTCCAGGCTTTTCCGGACAACTGAGGGCGCTGTTGCTGTGATGTCATTTCAGGAAGACACTGGTCAGTTTACATAGTTTAGGGATTTTCTGTTCAAATTGTGAACCCACAATTTTGCTCATTTGAAAACATTCGTGAGAAAACTTTGCACATTGGCTTTACTGCCATGTACTGACACAACAAATCACCAAAGTAAAGGGAATTCACGACGGCGAAATATCCAACATTTTCTGGCAACTTTTATTACTGAAAAAGTTGCATGCACATTGCAATGAGGTTTCTGCTCATGAATGTTTCAGAGTGCATTGGCCTAAAAACTAAAAAGGCACCAAAATACCTTTGAAAATGCCAAAACGGAATTTGAAAACAAGGTTAGGTGGAACACAAATGAGCATTTTCAAGTACTGCATTAAAAAAAAACCAATACATTGCAATTGCACAGTGACGGATTAAGATGTATCTGAAAAGTAGCTGACACAATGCTTTCGCCATTGAAGGGGGCCATCGTGATAAAATTGATTGCGTGCCCGTATTGGTCGAAGGGGAACAGGGGCGGACCTAGCTTTCAGGAAAGTTTTGTTTTATTATTATTTGAGTGAAGCTAGCCGAAAGCATGCCCTGCTAGGGGCAGTGGCGTAGCCAGGATTTTTTCAGTGGGGGGGGGGGGGGGGGGGGGCGCTGGGGTGCTGGAACATTTCATGGGGGGGGCGTCAATTGCTTCTCAAAATTGGGGGGGGGACATACCTTGATCAGAACTGATGCGAGCGCGAAGCGCGAAGCCCTTACAGCGTGGGGTTCGGGGCCCGCATAAGGGCCTCGAAAAAAAATTGGATTCTAGATGTTCTGTGGTGTGATCTGAAGCAATTTCTTACCACTTTAACCAATAATTATCTTAGCACAAAAGATAATAATTTAAACATAATTTTCGAGGTTTTCTCAGCTAAAGGCATAAGAAATTTTTTTGAACATTGTTTTCGAGGTTGGAGTCATTGAATCAGCTACCAGAATTCTGAGCTATAGGCGTGGGGTTCGGGGCCCCAAAAAGGGCCCCGAAAAATGTTGGATTCTAAATGCTCTAAATTCCTCCATGCTTTAACTAATATTTTCTTAGCAAAAGATAATTATTTGAACATCGTTTTCGAGGTTGGAGTCATTGCATCAGCTATCGGTATTCTGAGCTATAGGCGTGGGGTTCGGGGCCCGCTTAAGGGCCCCGAAAAAAATTGGATTCTCGATGCTCTGTGGTGTGATCTGAGGCAATTTCTTACCACTTTAACCAATAATTATCTTAGCACAAAAGATAATAATTTAAACATAATTTTCGAGGTTTTCTCAGCTAAAGGCATAAGAAATTTTTTGAACATTGTTTTCGAGGTTGGAGTCATTGAATCAGCTACCAGAATTCTGAGCTATAGGCGTGGGGTTCGGGGCCCCAAAAAGGGCCCCGAAAAATGTTGGATTCTAAATGCTCTGTGGTGCTATCTGAGGCAATTTCTGACCACTTTAACCAATATTTTCTAAGCAAAAGATACATTGTAGTACATAATAGGGCCCTGTAAATGAGACACGAGTTCAAAAATCTGGGGGGGGGGGGACCATTTGATATTGTGTCCCCCACCCTTCAAAAAGTGGGGGGGACCAGTCCCCCTGTCCCCCCAGGATTGACGCCCATGGCGTCATGTAGATCAATGATAATTTTTTTAGAAACTCAAAATCTCAGTGGGGGGGGGGGGGGGGGGGGGGGGGGGGGCGACTGGGGGCGACAAGGTTTCATGGGGGGGGGCTGTCGCCCCCACGCCCCCCCGTGGCTACGCCACTGATTTCAAGGAATTTTAATTGGTCTATTATTATTATTTAGCTTATATGAATGTAGGAAAAAGTTTGTGTGTGCGTGGCCGATTCGCGTGATATCGCTGACTGAAACTGTGTGACCCACGGACCACCTGTCTATAATACGTGTTCCGTGGTGTGAGCGAGCAGTGCAGTGGGTGTTAATACGCATTTTAGATTATCATTATGCGCTATGTCACGCCGGTTGTCAGCTTACTGGTCCGCGGTCGCCGGTCGAAGGGTCGTTTCTCAGTGGTCATCATGTGGATCATTCGCGACTATTTAGATTTAGATCAATGATAATTTTGTTAGAAACTCAAAATCTCAGGGGGGGGGGGACTGGGGGGAGCGACAAGGTTTCATGGGGGGAGGTCCCCCCACGCCCCTCCCCCCCCCCCCGGTGGCTACGCCACTGGCTAGGGGGTCCGGTTGCATATCCCTTCCCCCGAAATTTCGAAATCTACGATGCTGTTCTCCTGCATTCTAAGGCAATTTGAGAGTACATTTAAGAACTTTGAGTCAAAGTTTTTCAACCTATAATTTTAATTCAAACATGCCATGTACTCTACACTCTGGCATGGATCTGTCAGCGAGCCTGCTGTCGAGGTTTAGCATTCCATCTAGTATTTTTGACCCAATTTTGCTAGTATCATAACATTAGTCAGCGACTTAACGGGGGGGGGGGGGGGGTGCAACCCCCAACCCCCCTCTGTAATTCGCCACTGAAAAAAAAGGATCGGGGTCACATGAGTAGCGGAAAATTAGGCCAGACGCGAGTCCGAAACGGTTGTTTAGAGCCACGGCTACGTCTAGAGCTGTTGGCGTATGACAAAATTTTTTTTTCTCCGGAGACTTGGCATCGGTAAAATCAAAACTGGGGGTGGGGTGGGGTGGGGGGGGGGGGGGGGGGGGGGGGCTGGTACCAAATTTCAATAGGGGGCGCTGTTCAAATTCGACTATTATTAACACTAGATTACAGAATGGTGTACCGTATTTTGAACAGGCGGACATTATACCAGTATTTTTTTTGGGGGGGGGTGTCACGGGGGGGGGGGAGGGTTCGACTCCTTTTTTAGGAATTTGTATGATTTTTTTTTTTTTTTTTTTACAGAGCTTTTTTTTTTTTTACCCCCCCCCCTCTGGATCCGCGCGTGACAATGCAGAAAGACAATAGAAAATGGGGGGTGCAGCCTCTCCGTCCATTCATATTGTTTGCCCTCACGTTAATCTATTTTTTTTTTAATCTGACGTCACCCCTCCCCTTCACACATGAAATAAGTCCATATTTGGAGCATTTTCTTTCATCAAGTGACTTGGCTGTAATGCATTACTTTCACAACTTACTCTTTTAAAAAGATGACAAGAATCGCCCACCACACATTTCACGAAAATTACATCAGGGGTTAGGCGTTTATATTGCTTTCCCGTGCTCGTTAACTAACTCGAATGTTTTTCTCTTAATGTGCATTGATATTGTTAATTGTATGTTTTATTTATACGCGAACTAAGTTTGACCTATATGTCTTCCAAATTGAGAGCGGAGCGGGGGGGGGGGGGATTGGGGGATGGGGGTGGTGACAACTTTGCCGACAGGCGTCCACCCCGCGCATGAAGGTATACCTAGAATGTTATACTGGCCGCCGCAAAATGGAAGGGGGAGGGGGGGGGGCCGAACACCATTTGACTTATGGGGGCGCTGTTCAAAGCGGACACTCTATAATTTATTTTTGTTCATGAAATTGGTCAAAAGTGGAGAGGGTAGCACATGACTGTGTTATAAGCGTGAGGTGCTCATATTTGTAAACCCCCCCCCCCCCGGCTGGATAAGCCACTGATGTTAGGGAGCAACATCTTATAGCTGTGAAGAGTTTTTTTGAGGGGGGGGGGGGGCTTGTCCCCCGTTCCCCGGGAACACCGCCCATGTATGCAAGTCTTTCAGAGATCGCCCTTACATGGCTAGAGGGTCGGGGGGGGGTCATTTAACCTCAATCGGCATCATAAATAAGGACAATTAGAACCTCAAATATAAAGCGTATATGGTCCCTTTTCTACATAGTTGTTAGAAATGCTACAATCATGGCCTTTTGTTTTACCTATTTCCGTTGTTTGAATGATTGTGTCAGTCAGAATAAAACTAGAAAATGTATTGCTTGTTGGATTTAAGTATTACATGGGCACATGGTTGAATGTCGGCAAGGGGCTCGGATACTCCCCCCCCCCCCCCCCCCCCACACACACACACACTCCTCCACCCAAAAAATCAGGAACACGTAACAACCAACCAACCAACCAATTAACAACAAACAAAAACACAATTAAGCAAACAAAAAAATAACCAGAAAGCAATTTTCTATGTACTTTTGTTACTTTCACTTTTAATTAAGCTTCATCTGGGAAAGCTAATATACTTCAGTTAATGTGTAAAAGTTCAAGAAATTCAAAATAAACACGAAAAACCAATAGCTTATTGCCATTAATTTTTACATTAGATCGACTGATACAAGCACAGATTTGCTTCGAATGGAAAGTTTTGAGCAGGAAAGGTCCGCTTTGGAAATAAAAACTCTTATAAGCGTCATAAATGTAGGCTCAGGACTCCGAAAAGATTTTGAAGTATGGTACTTGGCCTTTAATCATCCAACATTATTCAAAGGTAGCATTTGCATCTGTCGTAATTTTACGAAATCGGCCGATTCACGGGGCACAGGGACCTGTTGTTTAATGTGCTCTGTCCATTAGTGCTAGCAAGACACAAATGTGTTTGTTTTTAGCCGTCAAAGAGCAACTCGCTGAATCTGTCGTGCATAGTACCCGTGCGGGTGCCGGTCGTAGTGTGTAATTTATACATCTTTGCAATACATGCTTTTCTTGAGAATGACAGCATATCCGTTTTCACAGGATGCTTCGCATTGTAACTTGCTCACAGCCAAGTAAACTATTTCATTGTAATTTGACAATTTTTTTTTGAGTTCTGCAAATGTGACCTATGCCTACTACCTTAGTTTAAACTGCATGGACCTATGTTACTAAGACTTAAAGCCATGTCGCCAGCATGATGTTCAAGCTTGATACTAGTTCTTGATGTAGACGCGTTGTACCGTCTGAAATTCAGCCCACGATATCTCCTCGTTTCCTGAAAAGTAACAAAATGAGAAAAACAAAAATAGAAAATTCAAACAAGACCAAAATTGATTTTGAGAAAACCCGTATGTCATTTGCCGTTGGCCGTTGCCATACGGAACAGGAAGCAGTTTACCAGGTACATGTCAAGGCAAAAATAATATAACTTCCTGAAATCCCCAAATTGTATGTTTTGTATTGTTTAATTATCCCATTTCAAAGGTCTGGTTGAAAGGAAACTAGCCTAATGTCCGATTTTACCGCTCCTGAGAACAGTCGCAAAAAAACTGATGTTTTACATCGGAAACTGCGGACATTTTGTGGTATAGGCATGCGTATTTCCAGCCGTGTCCATTCAATGTACGGTACACGTTGTGTGTGTGTGTCACACATATTACACGAAGCCACAATGCACACATTTTGTTCATCGCACGTCCACAAAATAAGCTTCCCAACCACACGGCTAAATAACAACTAAAGTACTCAACAGCTTGGGTTTTTTTAAGAGTCAAAATTTGACCCATGATCGTGTGGACGTTGATATCCTACTTTTAAATGTTCTTAGCATTTCGTTTAAAACGCGTTTGGTAGCCCCATTGGACGTATAATGTCTCTTTAGTTGCCTGACGAGAAAACATACCGTCCGTATCCACGCTGCTCAGGAACGCACTGAAGTTGACCACGCCCCCTTTGTGGGCGTGCCACTCCTCGATAGACAGGGAGCCGTCACCATCAATATCCAACCGGGAGAAAACGCCCTCTTTTGTCGGCTGACTCACAGACCTCTTGAATCTTAGTATTGGAAATAATAAGGAATCTTCAAGGAAACTATGTACTTTTGCTTTCTTGACTCAATAGCTAGATAAGCAATCGAGGAAGGGAACATTTCTCTCCAAACAAGGAAAATGCAGTTTAAAAATGGAGAAAACGTAACAGCCAATATTTTTGAGTAGGCCAATGAGGATGACGTCACTTTGGAGTAGGCTACAAAGAGTCGCAAACCCCAGCTTATTTGCCTACGTTGACACATCGCTACAATGAATTCAAGAATTAAATGTGTGCAATCCTAAATTCTATAGTAAAGAAAGTAAAGTTGTCAAATTGTTATTGTTTGAACCCCCTCCCATGCATGGTCTCGTAACATCGCCCTCTTTTTTAGCCTATTGTTCACAAAACAACGGTGATAACCAGTTGATAAAAAATATACAGCAAAAAGAAGAAAAGAATGAAAAAGTTTGTTCTTACTCGATTCTGACCTCGACGCCAACCGATATAGGGTCGAAATCAAAGGTCGGCCGGATTGAAACGCCGGGGGCAATCTGCCAGCCCGTGGTGATTCCGTCGATTATGTCTTGTAATAATTGACCGTTTGTCGAAGCCACCAAGCCAACAACTAAAAGGAACAAGGCGAATCTTGCCATAGTGCTGTCGAGTTCTTGAGACCTGTAAGCCAATGTTGATATAGAAACATGGAAAAGATACAGCACTATTTGAAAAAAATAGTTGAGGATGCGTTCCTCGCGCTTTTTTCGAGTTTCACCTCCAACGTTGATATTTTTTCCCATTGCTATTTTCATAGCAATATAACAGTTAAACACTTTTGAATTAGAAATCAAACGTAAAAAAAAAAAAATACAGGACGTTTAGTTGATGAATTGTTTTATTTCACAAAATTCAACTTATTGCTGCTAGACAATAATTCGGCTCTCGCAGAGCGGCTTCACTTGTTTGCAAATAAAAGTCCTTTTCAGAGGGTTGTTGATGCCCCCAAATCGGAATAAAGTAGTTTTTTCTATATAACAAAAGATACAAATTCAAAATACGTTTTTTAAGACCACAGAAATGCATCTTTAAGTTCATATTAGTATTCGCTGGGTGCAGAGCTCGCGTTGGGGTTTCTTAAACAAATATCTGTTCATTTGATCACTTTATTTTAACACAGAAACAAAAGAAATCCGCTTGAAGGGCCTTGGTGCTTGTCCACGTGATTTAAAATTGAAAAATAAAAAGAGGACTGCAGTTTTTTGTTATTTTTCAATTTTTTTTTTTAAAGTCTCGTTACCATGTTATCAAAAGTCAGATATGACTACAGCATGTTTCTTTTGACGAAATTAAAAGAGAGCCGCTCACTACTAACTCATGCTATTTGTGTTTCCGTTTCAATCAAATATGGACAGAACAACAAAATACATGTATTAGGGGCTACTGTTGTACTAGGCTGGAGGCTAATTAAGGCATCGATAAGTAAAGACAGACTCACCAATGTCTTGAAAACTGTTGACTGCTCTGGATAACTGTGATGCTGATCAGTCAGATGTAGACTCGGACGAATCAAGATGATTGTGATTCGAACGGAGGCACAAATGGGAATATTTATAGACAAAGTGAGGCGGATGCTTCTTTGGAGTGATTTCAAGATGGTCGACCGATTGCGACCTGAAAAACAGAAACACCAATAAAGGCATCTCCTTAATAGGTCCTGTCTGTTAAGTTAACTCTAGAGACAACTTGGCAGATACATTTGGCAGAGTTTGGGACAGAGTGAAAGGGACATCCCCTGCACAGCACCTATACTCTTTTGTGCCAAATTACAACAGGGGAGTTTTTAGGGTTTTTTACCGACCCGTTTTTGTGTAGATGCTTATTCGAGTCGTTCTCCATGCCTCTGAAACTTCTCACGAAAAAGATTCCCTTAAAACCAGGAGTTTGGACTTACGAACAGCATCCACGATCCACCAAGGAGAGACTGGAAGCGAGACTATATTCGGGCATGTTAATCCAACTCGGATGCAACTCCCCCCCCCCCCCCCCGGATATCCATGAGGGGTTGTCCCTTGAAAAGTACGACGATTCCCCTTCTCTGGCTGCCAGGTGCGTAGGGAAAGTGGATCACATGTCACGTGATATAACTGAACCCCGCTGCTACATGTGTTAAAGGCTCCGTTTGCATATCGTGCCAATCTATAGTTGTATCTATACACTAAAAAACAATTCTTTCGATCTACTCAATAAAATGATGGCAACTCTTTTGCCTCAGTTCGGTTACATCATTTCAAATTGTTCTGATTTCGAGTTTTTGCCACTGTTGCTAAGTATGTTCTAATTAAATCCAATCATTTAGAATCTACTTTATAAATTTGAGGCATGCCACTTGCCTTAATTTTGTAAAGTTATTTCAACTTGTGGTAATTTTAAGTTGGCTTAAATCAGAAATAAGAAGTAATAACAAAAATCTAGAATATGCATGTAATGTGAAACTTGAAATAAGTATCATCTGGCAAGCACTCATTGCATTTTGTCCTGTTTGCAGGGCGGAGGGTACGACGAGCGAATCATTGCGTGCGAAAAGGTTTCTGACTGTGTCAATAAGGGCGCTGTTTTTTATGTTTTTTTTCTCATGCGGAATTTTCGGAGTTTTTACCCCAGATGTTCTCATTCCCAAACAAACTGTGAATCGGGGAACAAAGTTTTTTAGATATGGTGCATAATAATCTACATGTCTGGGAAGTTTTATAAAATTCGGCGGACCAGATCGCCTATCTCGAAAACTAAAGCGTTTTCGGCCTCTCGTACCACGGCCATATTTCTCTCGTCTCTTTGAAGCATGGGCGTAGCGAGGGGGGAGGGGGACACTGGCAAAAACAAAACAAACAAACAAAAAAGGAGAAAAAAAGAAGACGAGGGGCGAATCATGGACGATTTTAACAAAGCGTCGAGTGATGTCTAGCACCCCCTCTCAATTTTCCACTGCTAGCGATATCTCCCTTTGCTGCTGGTGAGCACTTTGCTCCCCCCCCCCCCAAGAAAAAAAACCTTGCGATACCCATGCTCTGAAGTAATCATTAAAAAAAAAAGGCATGACCCACATGATCGCCCGACCCCGGGAGATCATGTGCCTCTCAGTGCATGTGTTTGGTTCATCGCTCGGCGTTGTTCGTGTTTGTGTCGCTTTTGAATGTCTGTAAAGTCAGCCAAGAACTTTTACCCTGTCTCCCCCCCCCCCAAATAATAACTGTTTGTTTTTGCTTGTTGGCTTTAATAATATTACAGAAAGTTAAAAGCATCCAAATGCATGCAGTCAAGGGACGAAAGACACCCCCCCCCAAAAAAAACACCCCAAGCAACCAGTCAACCAACCAACAAACGAATCAAACAAACCAAATGACACGACCAGAACTCAGCTTAATGTACTTGTAGCAAACTTTATTGAGCTTTGACTTGGAATGCGTACTTAACTGCGTAAAGGTTCCATTGAAATTCAAAAAACACAAGATTTAATACCGCACATTGCTTATTTTGCCACAGTGGACGTTCCATTAAAGACCCACAAAAAGCCTGGGCCTTATTTTCAGATCATCAACTTGCACACAGGAAAGTTATGCTTATAGAGACGCTTGAGTGTGGCAAACCCACCGGTTCTATTCAATTGTTTACGTCATGTGGAAGCTAATGTGCGCATGTTCAAAATGATGCAAACAATATTATTGGCAGCGAGAGTCTCCTAAATCTCCCATTAGTGGTGCCCCGGTGGCATCAGCATTTATGGGAGGGGCCCAAGGGCGGATCGAGAGAGAAAGTAGGGGGGGGGGCTGGACCTTATTTGACGCTAGAGGCGTTCTTTTCCCTTGTCGTACGTCTTTAAATCACATTTCACATCCACATAGGGAAATGGAATGACTATATCATTGATATAAAACTATAGTCGTCTAAACTCCTCTTCTTGGGGGAGAGGGTGGTATAGGGGAAGAGGGGGGGGGGGGGGACACAGGGTCCCGGCTATCCCTGTGGCTACGAAGTCCCGTGTAAAGCCTGCTTAACACACCATAAATGCTTGAAACACTTTTCCAGCTATCCTGCTGTAATAATTGGACCTAGGTCAAGGAACAGGTTCTTAATAAAGCCTTTTTTCAACCCAAAACAGAGGAACTTTACTTCAAGCGGAAAGAGAAAAATATAAAGAGATACGATTATTGTCGTAGTTTTCAATATAAATTGTCTAATTCTGTGTACAGAGTTAAGTTCGAGCTGTAATTATGTAAGTTAAAGCCATATCGTCGTCACAAGACTTCAACTTGGGTGCTTGGGTACATTAGTTCTTGGTGTAGACGCGGTTAACTGTCTGAAACTCGGCCCAAGAAATCTCCTCATTTCCTGAAAAAAAGCAACAAAGTGTGAAAAACAAAAACACAAAATGTCAAAGAAGGACCGTAATTGACCTTAAGATAACCCGTATTTCATTGGCCGTTACCATATTAATCTAATCGCTTTTGGGAAGTAGGCATTATCCTTACAAATAACGACAAAACATTTTAAGTGTCGATAAGACACCATTTAAAACAGAAATCAAGTTCTGTTGCATACACCGAAGACGCTAGTTTGACGTTTTTGTCTATCTCTGGCCAGACAGCGATCGTGATTGGCTGCTGATCACCTTGCGGCATGCATAATTCATGACTTTGCCGATAGGAGGTTCTTCCCCATCAGTCTATATACGTTCCAGACGTGCCCCCCCCCCCCCGGAAGAAAAGAGCAATAATTTGAAAACAGTACAGCGCTTCAAAGCATCTGATCTGAAACAGGCGAATTTTTGCTGCCACCCATTTAGGAACAATTTACAGGTTATTTTCTTCGCAAAGTGTGAAGATAACAAAGCCCGTTTTCACATAAGCTTAGTGGGTTTACGTGCAATGCAACACTAGTTCATGACGAGCAAACTTATATGGAACGGGAAGGCAGTTATCAGGTAGGTTTACATTCAAGGCAAAAAATAATCAGCTTCAACATGAAAAGGGTGCTAGCTTAATGGCCTATTGACGAGAATCACATTTTGATCTCACCGTCCGTATCCACGCTCTTCAGAAATGCAGTGAAGTTGACCACGCCCCCTTCGTGGGCGTGCCACTCCTCGACAGACAGGGCGCCGTTACCATCGATATCGAGCAGGGAGAAAGCGCCCTCTTTTGTCGGCTGACTCACAGACCTCTTGAATCTTGGTATTGAAAATAAAGACAACAGAGTTAATTACGTAGGCCAATGAAGCACACGTATCAAGGATAAAGATGGTTTGTTTGTTTGTTTGTTCGTTGGGAATGTTTTATCTACCTTTTTTATTCACTATAATGACCTGCTAAGCTTATACAAGTGTGTGTTTTTTTCAGCCTCACCCGCTAGTCAATATTTTTAGTAAATCTTGAAGAACTTAGACACTTTTGCTTCCTTAACTGAAAACCTGGATAAACAACTAAGGAATCTATAACCTTTCTCTCCCAACCAGGAAAATACAGTTTTAAAAGGAGGACATGTAACAGGCCTGACATCTTCTCCTTTTTAAACTGTTTTTGTTTTACTGATTGAGGACGACTTAGAGCGGGTCCGGTAGACTACAAAACGTCACAATTCCAAGCTTATTGGCGTACGTTTCACATCGCTACAGAATTTTAGATTGAAGACAAAAGTTGATGAATTCTTTTAATTGATAAAAGTGATTATTTTGTTTTACTGTTTGTACCCCTAAGCTCGTCCCCAGGGAACGTTATATTCAACCTCGTTTCCAATAACAACCCCAGGGTGGGAATTTGTCTTCCTGAATTCTGATTTGATACAGCAATAACAAGTACATAATGGATTTATGTCGTGCACTTGGTGTATGTATTTCCAACGGGTATTACGTATTTCACATTTCCTCCCTTTTCCATGTTGCTAATATTTATCTGTAATGTGATACTCCATATTGGCTGATTAAGATTGTAACATTTTAACATTGAAAAAATATATAGGGTGTTCGCAACTAACGCCGCGACGAATTGATTCTGTTTTTACTCCAGACACCGCATACAAAAACAAGCACTGATTTTAGAGCACAATTTTAAGCACCAGACTATTTCTTAATTTGCATACACATATCATTGCAAGATTTTTGAACATGCACATGATCCAATACCAGGGTGAGAAGGCAGGTAGTGGCGGGAGCGTACTGCTCGACACCATGGGAACGAGGTTGTTTGCACCTCTAAATGGTAACATAATCATGACCTCATGCGCACAAAAGCTGGCCTTTGGTTACGACAAAAGAAGATTAAACAGTTCGCTCTTACTCGATTCTGACCTCGATGCCAACCGATACAGAGCCGGGGTCAAAGGTCGGCCGGACTGTAACGCCGGGGGAAATCTCCCAGCCCCTGTTAACTGTGTCGATTACGTCTTGGATGGGATTGGCTTGTTGGGTGCCGCCCCCTTGTTGGTCTTGTTGGGTGCCTCCCCCTTGTTGGTCTTGTTGGGTGCCGCCCCATTGACCGTCTGCCGAAGCTACCAGTCCAGCAATCAGAAGGGACAGGACGAATCTTGCCATGGTGCTGTCGAGGTATTGCGACCTGTAAGCCTAAAAAATGTTGATTTGGAAAAGATTACAGTATTATTTGTATAAAAAAAAAGTTCATAAAGTATTCCCTGAGTTCTCTGTTCATTTTATCACTTTACGTTAATACAAAAACAAGAAAAAAACAGCAGAAAGCGCCAATTAAAAATTAAAAAGAAATATTTTCTTTTTGCTGTTTCATTTTTTAAAAATTATCTCGTTTAAATTTTATCAAAAGTCAGATTCAAATACAGCATGGTGTTTTCTTCTTTTCAAATTTGTCGAAATAAAAAGAGAAGTCTCTCACATTATGCTCTGCTGTTTGTGTTTCCGTTTCAACGTTAATACGGAGAAAAGATGGTGCTACTATTGTACCAAGCTGGAGACAGAATTAAGGCATCGATAAATAAAGACAGACTCACCAATGTCTTGAAATTTACTGTCTGCTCTAGATGATTGCGATGATGGTCAGTCGAATCAAGATGACCGTGATTTGCTTGACGCATTTATATGAAACTAAGGCGGATGTTTGGGTTTTTTGTGTGATTTAATGAAGGTCGACAGATTGCGACCTAAAAATAACGAATACATCCTTCCTATCTTTAGTTCTGTCTTTAAAGTTTCACCAGGAAGGGAATCTTGGGACAATACCGTTTCGGATGCCTGGCAGATCGAGATAGAGCAAAAGGGACATTGCACAATTATACATCGAGTTTTTTTTCTTCATTTTTTCACCTGCCAGGTTTTTGTGGATGTTTATTCGAGTCGTTCTCCACATATCCCTCTGAAACTTTTGACGACGAGTTTGTGAACTTTGGAGCAGTATCAACGATCCACCAAGGAGAGACTGGAACAAGGGCGGATCCAGAACACAATTTGAGGGGGGGGGGGGCTAAAAAACGTAAGTCCCCTCAAGAGTGGGTCCAAAATATAACGGCGTGCGCTTGGGGTTTCGGGGCCCGCTCAAGGGCCCCGATTTTTTTGGGGGGGAGGGGATTCTAGATGCTAGTCAGTTGTGCGATCTGAGGCAATTTCTGACCGTAACTACCATTTTTTTGGAGAAAAAGATGGCCGTGTGCGCAGTCCCTGCTTTTATTGGGACGTCACTTAAAAAAAACCCCAAAACATTGGGTTCGGGGGGGGGGGGCGTTGGCCTCCCCCTTGATCCGCCCTTGGGGGTGCGCTGAACTTATTCAAGCGAGAATTTCTACGCCAGCTGATTAGCATAAAAAGTGCCCCCACAATTTCTTTTAAAAACGGAGACCGTTTGGCTTTAAAAACGGTGGAATTGTTTAAATATACCCAAGGATCAACTCCCTGGTTTTGGGGCTTCCATCTGAGGGCAGGCTTGATAAAATCACGGATGAAAAATGGGTCCTATTTGCCTGTGAAAGCGGAAGGATGCCACTTGTAAAATGGATACATGCAGGCTCGGGAACTATCACTTTTCGGGAGGTGATTTTATTTGGGTGTGAATATTTAAAAATGTAATTGGCTAATTTACCTAAAATTGAAAAGAAATGAAAAGATGAAAGACAAGACAATAATTTAATTTTTGTTTCAGAAACCCCAGTGATGTTGGCTTGCATGTTACTTGGCCCTGAACTTTGTTGATTTTACACTGTTTTCAATGGGGCTTGAATTAGTACAGTGGACCCTTGGACTCGAATTGAGACTGTATTCAGTCTTGTGTAATGCAACCCGGATATCCAGTAGGGGCTGCCCCTGGAAAACCCGTACGATAAACATGGTTCCTGTTGATGACCTTCCAAGGTCCCAGGTACGCAGTGAAAGTGGATCACAGGTCACGTGATGTGACTACCCAGCAGGTGCGTCTCAACTTATGTGTGTGGGTTTCACAGATGTACGTTGCAAACAAAACTGGATATCTCATATTAGCCATGCGAGCGCGAAGCGCGAACGCGGCCCATACGGCGTGGGCATGGGTGTCACCGGGATTGTTTTCCAGCCTGAGGGAGCACACCCCCCCCCCCCCAACAATCCTTGTACTTTCGCGAGTATATTCTCAATTTATCATTTTTTTTCGAGGGTGGGCTTGGGATATTTCCCCCCCCACCCCCATTGATACCCCTGCAGATGCCCATTTTGTTAAATGTGTATTAAACTAATAGCAGATATGACTTCACTTCGGTTCCCCCCCCCCCTCGCGACGCCCATTATGAGCGTGTGGTTTGAGTTCGGGGACCCCGCTTAAGAGCCCCGAAAATTATTTGATTCTAGATGCTCTGTGGTGCGATCTGAGGCAATTTCTGACCACTTTAACCAAATTTTGTTTTTGAGCAAAAGATCATATAGGCTTACATCATTTTCAAGTTTGGAGTAATTAAATCAGCTATTCTGAGCTGTAGAATCAAATGTAGCTGTAGGCTACAATTTTTATTGGGGGCGAAAAAAAAGGCGCGGGGGGGGGGGGGGAGAACAAACGATATGATAAAAAGTCAGGTGGACATGTCCCCCCCCACCGGCCCCTGGCAGTTCCCCAAGGGCGGATCCAGGGGGGGGGGGAGGGCCAAAGGGGGCCATGCCCCCCCCCAAAAAAAAAAAAAAAAACGAGACCAATTTTTTAAATTTTTTATGTGACATCGCAATAAAGGCAGGCAATGAGTACACCACCATCTTTTTCTCAAAAAAACATTGGTTAAAGTGGTCAGAAATTGCCTCAGATCGTACCACAGAGCATCTAGAATCCTAACATTTTCGGGGCCCTTAAGCGGGCCCCGAACCACACGCCGTAATTTTTTTGACCCCCTTTTTTTAGGGGTCCAAATTTTTTTTTTTGGCCCCCCAGTTCCCCATCGATTGACGCCCAAGCCAGTGGTATATTATTGGCCGCGCGCGCTTCGCGGGTACGCCTTTACTAACATCAATCTATTGTTACCAACAGAGGGCGCCCTATTTACTTCCTGGTATGATTTTTTGCAGACTATTTTGACTAATTTGAGACAAAAGAGGAATGAAACTTGAAACTGACAGTGTGAAACTGTCATTTAATCGTGCTATAAATAAAGAAAAATATAGACCTCACACTTTCATGACTTTGTACTTAAAATTCCGAGGTCCTCTTCTTCTTGATGTGAAAACTTTTTGCGAAGAATTTGTCTTGATCGTGAGTAATGCTAGCTATGTTAACTCAAGCTTGAGAAAGTAACTTGGACCTAGTCCGAGTAACTTGGACCCAACTTATCGCCTTTTTTAACATTTGGACATGGTCTGGCGATAGTAGTAGGGTCCAGGCTAATCCATATAGGCCTATGTCGAGCAACACAATTTTATCCTTGACCCAAAACCCAACATTGCCCAACAAAAACATCAGATTTCACCCTCAAATTGGCCTACAAATTACTAGATGCGCCACGTTATGGCATTGTGTTGAGCATGAAGAACCTTCAAAGTTATGGGTATCGACCTAACTTGACATTAAAGTTTTTTTTTTTCAGACAGATTTAAAATAGTAAAAATTTTGTGCATGACCAAAATGCCCACTTGAACCGAGCAAATGTATGGAAAAATAGGAGTGCAGGTCTGCTGTACTCAATTTAAGACCCATACTCGACGTATTATTTACCCTAGCCCGACTGCGTCTGGCCGTACAGTACTATCGCAAGCTCTGCGTACTACAGAGCTTGCAATAGTACTGTACGGCCAGACGCAGTCGGGCTAAATTTAACCCAACCAAAGGTACAGTTTGCTTTCTTTTTGTTTTAAATATAATCTTATACTTTATTGTGGAAGGTTTCATCTTTTTTTATTCAAATGTCGGCCTAATTTGTTTCTTCTCATTGACAGAATTGAAAACAAAGTTGGACAAGCAGACAAGATGCCCGTTCATTACGAGTGCAAGATTGGCCCCTCCATCTTGAACTCTGACCTAGCCTCGTTGGCTGACGAGTGTCAACGTGTGCTGGACAGTGGGGCAGATTACTTACACTTAGATGTCATGGATGGGTGAGTGGTATTTGGACAGGGTAGCCAGTCTAGCTTAAATGGATTCTGTGCAGGATCCATAGAGGGCGCTTGGTGGCGTACTCTTAGTCTGGTTCCCTGTCCCCATTGTCAATTGGACTTCAAATATGGGGACAGGTAGCTAGTAGTGAACCTGACTACCTCAGGAGGCATTCTTCCTGATGTATGCAAATTATATGCATGACGTGTATATAGGTCTGAATCCCGCCTCGTGAATTCAAAATCACAACGGTAATGGTTGCGCGCAACCAGCCTATGGCAATGGGCTGCGCCACAAATGCGCGAGGTGATGAGCTTCGATTTTTGCTGAATTCAAAAGTGTCTGTGGCAAATATCAATAAAGAGAGGGAAATTACTGTTCAGCATTTAAAACCTAGATGCAGTTGAAATACTTGAAAGTTGCCTTCATGGAGACAGTGATGATTTTGCGTATTTTATGTGATAAGACAAGAGTGAGTTTTTGTATAATCGTGTGTTCAATAACCGTCCATGCACAAAGCTATTAAGCAGTGATTCAATAAATAAACAATTATAATGCGCCTGCGTAGAGGTGATCCAATCAATGGCTCTAAATGAGAGCTAGCTACCAGTCCCCGTATTGTTTTTTTTTTTGGGGGGGGGGGCGGAAAACAGTCTTTGCTCGAATCCACAAAGGAAAGTTTAATTTGAGAGATTGTGTCGGCCTTAAACCGAGGGTTATGTACACATTGTGAATACAGATCATTCTTAAATATATTTCAACCGATTCTCGAATCTGGCTTGATGTCATTTTGACTTTGTGTGTGCATGCATATTGAAGTTCTTCTGGTTGTTACGGCGTGCCGTTGTTTTTCACTCAACAAAACTATTGTATTTGTCACATCTTGATACTCTGCAGAAATTGCAGTTTTATTGTGATATTTGTCATTTTTCTTCTAAATTTGCTTCGTATGGAAAGTCACGTGACACGTGAAGTATGAACCAACTTTTACGGAGCCTCTATTTCCCTTCATTGTTTGCATCATGTGAACATTTGACATCAATAAAAGAAAAAAAATGAAGAGTAAACTTGTCCACAGAATTTAGATAATCACATAGAAAACCATCACGAGCTGAGAGTATTTTTAAAATTGGATCACTTTGAAAAAATGATATCATTTCTAAAGTTTCCATGTAACAGTAGCAAATCACTTAGACAGAAAGTTTACTCGGACAGAAAAGTTATTTAATTTTTAGGGTTTGCACTTCACTAAGTTCCACACTTCTAGATCCACACCACACCTGACAATAAAAAATAGGCAGTCACCATTTTCAATTTTCCAATTCTTTTTTTGACAGGAATTTTGTGCCTAATATCACATTTGGTCACCCCATGGTGCAGTGTCTCAGACAGAAAGTCAAGACAGCTTTCTTTGGTAGGTTGGCTTGGAAACAAGAAAAGTCATGCCTTAAAAAATCAACTTTTGAAAGTTTCAAACTCGTATAAGATGTTTTCAAAGATACAATGGGATGTATTTACACATTTCATATGGATTTTGTATCTATTGTTGATGTCTCCTAACATGGCGCGGTCCCTAATGTGACACACTTTATAATTTTTTGCTTCTAGTGCTTTGCTGCATCAAAACTTTCCCTGAAATTTCACTGGTAAATTTCACCAAGCTCTAAACATTCCTGTTTATAAATCTTGAGTTTAGGCCTACCCATTACACAATTTATTTTGCCGTGATTTTCCAATTTTATTTCGAACTACACAGTGAACCCTTTAAAAATGCATCCAAAAAATATCTTAACAATCACTTCCTCACAAACTTCTAGTTGGGTATGTGAGTAGAAATAATAATTGTTTATCAGAATTTTTAAACTCTAAGGAAATTCTCAAATCTTAGCTTGGGATTTTCCAAGATTTGTTCATGTGCACCATGTTACGGAACACTTGGCTCATTTTGTTCCAAATGCCACCGGTTTTGAATTTCGGACTAAATTTTATGACACTGAAATTGATCACAAAGTTTCAACAGCAAGCATTATTATTGTATTTAAGTATTTAACGGAATGAATTTAAAGTTTGTCAACAAATAAGTTTGGCAACACTGCGTGAGGAAAGTCCAGGGAAACATTGAAGTGCACCATGATCGGGGAATACCACTATAATATATTAGTGTTTTGAATAAGACATAACACAAAAAGGGTAACAATCTCTGATCCGAGTAAAAAAAGCATTCAGTATGCTTTGCGATAAAAAAATGAACTTAACCGAACCAAATATGTTTCCCATTGTTGCTAATTTTTTTTTTAATCAAAACTGATGTGCCGTTAATTTACAATTGGTCTTAAAATATTAAGTCAAAAATTGTCACATGATTTATTTACTTTACAGACATGCACATGATGGTTGCAGGTCCAGAAAAGGTAATGATGGCAGAAAGTATGAGCAACTTCTTTTTCTAATTTTTTTTTTCTAATTAAAAGAAATCATTTAAAAAGAACATTTAAAAAGAGACATTTAAAAGAAATCATTTTGTCATTTTATTGCTATACAAAAGTTCAGGTTAAAATCTGTAAATTATACGGTATACTCTGGAGTAACATTTGTTGGGTTTATTTTTGGAAAATGAGTAATGAAGCATGCTCCTTTAGAAGTCCGAGTCAGTCGATGTTAAAGATGCATTCCCCTTGCTATTTTTGAGTTTTATCCCGAAAAAAGAATTCCTTTTCTAAGTTGCTATTATTCTAACAGTACAAAAGTTATTCACTTTTGAATGAGACATTGACCAAAAAAGCCGGCCCATGTTAAGTTATTGAACTATTACTAAACAATTTCAAATTATTAGCTGCCAGACATGAACCCTAACTCCCTAGCATAATTTACTAGAAACCATACCCATCCAGGCAAATTCCAACACCGACATGGGAAATCGTTCACTGTTGGACTTAGTTTCTGGAGGTATGCCAAGCCCAGTGTAAAAGACCATCAGTTTAGGGGTACTGTACCCATTCTAACAGATTTCAACAACACCTGCTGTTGGACTTTGATGGGTTGAATTCGGTTAGGGTTAATGCTGTTCTTGCGGGATTGGCTGGTTCCCGCCCCACAACCAATATTGATAATGTACATATATGGACCAGGAGCCAGTCTGCTTGCAAAGTGGATCTGTTTGTGCCCAAAACAACAACAAAAAATTCAAAGGGTTGCAGAAGTCAAAAAAAGAAAGAGTTTGTTTTGGTTGGAATAAAATATACAAGTTAGATATTTATGAATAGAAACGCAACTCTACCAGTTAATTCCCAAGATGCCTCGTTTATTCTTACCAGTGGATTCAACCAATGGCAGACGCCGGAGCCAACCAATACACATTCCACATCGAGGCAACGGATCGACCCAAAGACATCATAAGACTCATCAAGGAAGCCGGAATGAAGGTCTGTTCTGAGGCCCTCCCCCCCCCCCCCCCCCCCCGTTTTCCGCCTTTCTAGTCTCCTCCCCCTCCTCCTGTAGGCTATCCATTTGCAGTGCATTGCTTGATTCCCTACACTGCTAAACATGATTTTCTTGCATTTCTTAATATGCGAAAATATTTCTTGTTTCAAGAAATATTTTCAACAAGAAAATGTTTCTTGATATTAGATTTTTTTCTAGTTTTAAGAATACCATTTTTAGCAGTATACATAAAGTAACAAATAGAAAATCACGAGGAACATGAGCCTTAGAGTGAAAAAAGAAAGTTGACTTGTTGGGACTTGAACCCACAACCTCTGTACTATTGTTCAGATGCTTGACCAACTGAGCTACAAACGTATCTAGCCCCTAGGTTAGGATAGTCGGCCCTATGTGCACGCCCATCATTTTTTTTCTGATTTGTTAAGTATACAGGATTATAAATTTACATTTATAGTTTCTGTTACATTATAGCCCAACTCCTCTCGTTAAGGCCAAAAAAAACAACAAGTCGGTCTCTGGTCAGCGCGCGCATTGATTTTAATCATGCGCATCAATCTTTTTTTTTCAAAAATGTTCCGCGGTAGCTCCAACAGCGCCCTCTATTGCCGCACCTCCTCAAATTTTTTTTAACCAAAGAGCACCAAGGAATGGGAAATTGCACCAAGGCAAATGATCGAGAGCACCAAGGCAAATTATGGAGGACACCAATGTACATGAGGACACCAAAAAAGCAAAATAGTACCACACCTTGTCTGTACAATCCAAGCTTGAAGAAGGAAAAAAAAAAAAAACGCATCCCCGCGTCAATTCCGGAACTTTGGTCTGACCAGAGACCGTATATTTTTTTTTTTTTGGCCTAAAAAAAAGATTTTGGGACTTTTTTTCAAGTCTTACCATTTTTTCTCTTTGCATCAGGCGGGGATAGGCATCAAGCCAGGTACTCCAGTTGATGTTGTTTTCCCGTACGTGGAGGATGCCGACATGATTCTGGTCATGACAGTCGAGCCGGGATTCGGGGGACAAAAATTCATGGAAGACATGATGGCCAAGGTAAGAGAAAATTCCAAAGGGCATTCCAAAGGTATAGGGAGTTTCTAGTGATGTACTATACATGTTTCCTTGTAATAGTTGTACAATATTTATAATCGTTGCTTTACAATCATGCAGTAATGCCATATGCTTTTATTTTATTTCATTGTGCTGTATTGTATTTGTAATGTATTGTATGTGTACATATGTGTAGTCATTTGTAGTGTATGTAGGGCCCCCAATGGAAACCAGTTTTAAACTGTTTGGGCATACCCTGGGTAAAGAAATGTAATAAATAAATGTGCACGAGAGATGTTTCATTCCATGAACACATCAAGCCGTAGACTTCCCAGAGAGCCGAGATAGTCTTCAGAATGACCACTATCACCAACACCCCACTATTTTGTGGACGTGTACTCTATGAGCTGTGTGCGCCATCAAGAGGGGGCGCTTTTTGACCAGCACCTGTGGTGGGGACACACCGGCTGCGCATACTTGTGCGTGTTCTACATAACCCCCAAGGACCGACACACCAAGGAAGAACAACAGATCCTTTCAGTCCTCGGGCGTTGTGTCTTTTGTTGGAAACAGTCCTCTGTAGTAGGCTTTGTGTACTTAGTCTACGGGAGAGTGTTATATTACAGGGACAAAGGGAAACACAAAGCATTGTCCTCTGGAGTATAGTAAAACAAGAGTGTATTTTCGCGAGAGTATAGGGCGAAGTACGCAAGACTTATTTTATTCTGAATGTACACAAAGCCATAGAGTATTCGCGTGAGTGTCGGGTGTCGTCGGCAATATGTTTGAATGCAGCCTCGACTCCATGGGCTGCGTGCGCGTTCCTTCACTAACCCCTTGCCGTGAGGACTACGGAAACGACGCTGACCGGCTATTCAGAGTGTAACACGCGTGTATTTGGAAGAATGCATGCCCTGTATGGGCTCACGCGTTATCTCTGTTGCGTCACGTCACTGTACAATTGTTTTTTTTCCCCCAAAAAACATGTGTGTTGTGTTGTACAGGGATAACAGATGTAACAGATGTAAGATAGCGCTAGGCATGATGGGAAAAAAATGGCGCAGTAAGATAGTATCCATGGAAACGAGGCTGGTTTGAATGTCACTCCAGCCAGTCTCCCCCAACTCTCCCTTCCATGCAGTTGAGGGGGTACTTGCCCACGAGAGCGGTTACATGTAAATCCGTATAATTTTGAATAAATATTATCCATTTTTATTTTAGGTGGAGCAGCTAAGAGCAAAGTACCAGTCACTGGACATAGAGGTGGATGGTGGGGTGGGACCGGCCAATATTGACATGGTTGCTAAGGTCAGTCAACTGAATCCATCTTGAAACGAGTCAAATCTGAGCTGAAATGTATATTTTATAAAATTGTGCATATGACACTGCTATTTGGATCAACAGTCTGCCGAATGCGTATATGCGTATTATCATTTTAGGAAGACTCCTATATGTTTCGTACACAACCCAATCCACTGTTCAGGAAACAAATAGTGTATTAGTTGAAGCAGTCAAGCCGACGAAGCAACAAGATCCATCAAATCCAGTCTTAAAAAATTGAGTCCGTATTTCACAGAGTCTTAAAGATATGGTCCATCATTTGTAATTTGTGCATTTTGTTCATTTGAAGCAACAAAAGTTCCCAAAATCTAAAGAAGGGTACTGGACAACTAACCTGATGAAGTTTCAGCTCAGCTTCAGCTGTATATTCTGAGAAAAACAGCATTCTAGGATCTCAATTTCAAATCAAAACTTGCTGAATCATGTTTTGAATTGGGCCTGAATTCAGCGTCCGAGATGCGTTCTCACTGAGCCGGTTGCAGCTATGCGATGTCGCGCACCGATCCGACGAATTATAGCAACTGCGCGTGCGTCGTGCCAATGCTTGTGCGTGCTTTGCCGAATAACAAAACGAACTACTAATTTACATTTCCTACGGTGCGTCTTAAGAAGCACCGTTGGAAAGGCCTTCTTTCGTTGATTACTTCAAAATGACAGCTTGCCAGAAAGAATAATTTCACAGGGAGTTTAGTCCCCTTTCTATCTTTCGACCAAGTATGTTTTTCAACAATAATTACGCCAGTTACTTTTTAGATAGCTGCAAATGATGGACTATAGCTTTAGATTTTACACCGCACTGGCTACATTATTAGGGGAACTAACTCCAGTTGGACCAAGACCTAATTATGCAGGGAATTGGTCTGATTTTTCCCAACAGGCTGGGGCCAACATGATCGTATCGGGTAGCGCCATCATGAAGAGTGACAACCAACGGCAGGTCATTAACACCCTACGCGGCTCTGTCAACGATTATATCCAGACAGCTAATCTCAATAGATAGTGCTTTGTTGCGTGTCCTTTTTGTACTACTCCCTAACTCACTAAATGACTCACTGCCGCTCGTGAGCCAGGCAGCGCTTATCATGTTTAGACCAACCAGGGCATGTTATCAATATGGGCTATTCTCAGTTCAGTGCTGTGGTCCAGTGTTTACTGTTTTTGACTCATGTGCCGTGGTATATGGGTTCAAATCCCAATGGGGAACATGGTGCTTGTGCTCTTCAGCAAGGCACTTTACCATTATTGCTTCGTCCTTTAGATGGGACATAAAGCTGTAGGTCCCGTGTGTAACAGTTATCGCTAAAGAAAAGGGGTTTGCCCCGGTGTTTCAAGTTGTCTACTGACATTCGTTCAAATCACGGCAAGTCGGCCATGTTTATGTCGACCGTAAGATTTAGAAATGGACTCTCCGTGGCAAACTCTTGGTGGTGCACTGTATTGGGAATTGCCTGTATTCTATCACAAAGGTCCCCCTTCAATGGCGAAAGCATTGTGCTAGCTATTGATCAGATAGTCCATCACGGGGCAGTTGGTTTGTACAATAGCGTGCATGCTGTGGTCGTTACCTGAAGCCATTGCCTGAAGCGTATCATACGCAATGCAAGCCAATTGTGCATAGTAGGATTTATACATTTATGAAGGGCTTAGAATCGACACTATATAATTGTTTGATATTGAGATCAAATAAAAGATGGACGAATACCTTTCGACTCTTTTGTTGCTTTATTTAGTAATTTGGTTTATTGAAAAATACAATCAGTATATACACAACATAAAAAACATTATGGGTTAGGCGTGTAATGCCTAAGTACCTAAAGAGTTCCTGCACCTTTTAGGACAATAAAATTGCATGATTTTTCCACAACCAAATAATGAAAAACCATGACCTAGTTCATCAAAATGCATCTGTGAAACAAACAAAAACAACACAACAAAGCAAGATTGTCTTTCGAATTCAAAATGCTTGTACCCGCGAAATTGTGTCTGTTATAAAAATCAGATTTTCGATAAAATTATGCAAACATACAAACTTTAAAATTTTAAAGAAATTTTGTCCGCGAAAAAATTCCATAAAAAACTTTAGTGGCACAGGCAACAACTCGACTCGCATATGACCGGAGCCAGGAATCGAACCCGGGCCACAGTGGCGAGAGGCGAGTGCTTTACGCACTGCGTTCCTCGGATGGTGAGGGAGGAGATCGTAGCATGTTGGAAATACTGACACTTTGAAATTTTGGTACGGTGGGTCCCTCGGTCCCATTTTGTTGGAGATCTCGGGGAGGTGACACACCCTTTATGGTCATGTTCGGCGCCTCCAAGCTCCTGCCCCTGCTCGTCTTGCCCTTGATGCTGCTGTCCAGTCCCACCTTGTCCAGTCCATCACAGGGCAGTTGGTCTGTAGAATAGCATGCATGCTGCGGTTGTTACCTGAAGCCGTTGCCTGAAGCGTATCATACGCAATGCAAGCCAATTGTGCATAGTAGGATTTGTACATTTATTACTGGTTTAGAATCGTCTCTATATAATTGTTTGATATTGAGATCAAATAAAAGATGGACGAATACCTTTCGACTCTTTTGTTGCTTTATTTAGTAATTTGGTTTATTGAAAAATACAATCAGTATATACACAACATAAAAAACATTATGGGTTAGGCGTGTAATGCCTAAGTACCTAAAGAGTTCCTGCACCTTTTAGGACAATAAAATTGCATGATTTTTCCACAACCAATAATGAAAATCCATGACCTAGTTTATCAAAATGCAGATCAAAACTGTAAACAAAGCAAGATTGTCTTTCGAAATCAAAATGCTTGTACCCACGAAATTGTGTCCATTATAAAAATGAGATTTTCGATAAAAATTATGCAAACATACAAACTTTAAAATTTTAAAGAAATTTTGTCCTTGAAAATTTCCATAAAAAACTTTCGTGGCACAGGGAACAACTCAACTCACATATGACCCGAGCCGGGAATCGAACCCGGGCCACAGTGGTGAGAGGTGAGAGCTTTACGCACTGCGCCACCCATGCCACCCTGCTAGTGCTGCATTCCTTGGATGGTGAGGGAGGAGATCGTAGGATGTTGGAAATAATGACACTTTAAAGTTTTGGTACGGTGGGTCCCTCGGTCCCATTTTGTTGGAGATCTCAGGGAGTTGACACCCTTTTTGGTCATGTTCGGCGCCTCCAAGCTCCTGCCCCTGCTCGTCCTGCCCTTGATGCTGCCGTCCAGTTCCACCTTGGGCAACGTCCTGCCACCTGGACGAGGCCTCGTGGTCGTCCCGGCTTACCTGGCTTAAGCAGGTTGCGGATGCTGTGCAGCTGTCACCAACCGAGTGTTGGTCTCTTGCCCTTAACCGAGGAGGTTGGAGGTCACTACGACCTGATGATGGTCAAGTGCAGCAGCAGTAGTAGTTGTAGGGAGCGCTTGCAGCTGAAACCAACCGCAGTGCAGCAGAAGCGGGCCATGCGGAAGGCTAGAGCGTCAGCCCCAACCAACACACCACCAGCCCACACGTGTCCCACGTGTGGGAGGACTTTCCGGGCCCGGATTGGCCTCGTTAGCCACCTCCGAACCCACCGTTTTCTTCCCTAGACCACGAAGCCATGGTCATCTACGAATACGTAGGACGAACAGCACCCTTGCACTAGAGCTCCAGTTAGTGGTGTTGCAGCGCATTTACTGTTCATCACAGAGGACGGCATACATCAATGCTCACAATTGCAGGTAGACACTCAACTTCCACCCAGTTAGTCACGTGCGGAAACTGTTCCCACTAAACTTTGGCAGAGAGTGGCAGAGCAGTCCAGCATACTCCAGAGATGTTCGAGCTTGGTATCCATCCTGCTAGCCGGGCTACATTGGTACCACAGCAAGCTCTGCTAAATCTGAGATCACAAGGGACAGTTCTTGTGATGATCAGAACATGTTGTTGACAGCTACTCCGGCCTGCATGAGCTTAAATATAGTGGGCTGCGTGACCTTTGGATGGAAAAAAAAGAACGAAAAAAAAGTGCATCAGACTAAAGAACGCTTCGTGCAGAATCTACAGAGGGTGCTTATGGGACCCACGTAAAGACACGGCACTATAACTTTACTTTGACAATGTAAATGTGAATTGGGCAACCAAACTTTAAAACCTATATTCATCAAAACCTAAGACAGTCGAGAGCCTGTCACGTGGCAGGTTTTAAACGGTTGATAAAGACATGGCTGGCTGGTCTTAAAACACTTTTCCAGTGTCACATGAAATTTGGACTCCTATGAAATCCGGTGCCTGACTGACAAGGTAGAAACCAAATCTTCAACTTTTCTATTAGCAGAAAAAAAACACACATTTGTCTATATTTCACTGATCTCTAACCTTGTAACAGTTTTTGACTCGCAGTTCAGTCAAAGCGAGTTTTCCTTGCTTATCCAAAAAGGCCTGTAGCCCCAAGTTGCTGACCACGTAGCAGTAACTGACATCAAGATTCTGTAGAAGGTGGCACTTGAAGGCTAGCTGGCTGACACCAAAGTCTGTCACGCCGTAGACGCTACTGACATGTAGCTCCTTGAGGTTCTTGGCATGGTCTGCCAGGCCGCAAAGAGCTTCATCTGTTATCTGAGACGAGGACAATTAGAAGTAAGATAAAAAAACACTCAATCCATGATATCTGAGCTGAATACTTTTCAAGAATGTGCAATTTTAAGATGACTTCAACTTTAATACTTGACCTGAGTGACTCGGGGACTTGACCCGAGTTAATTGAGACTTGACCAGAGTGTCTTGAGACTTGGCCAGAGTGACTTGAGACTTGACCAGAGCAACTTGAGACTTGACCCGAGCGACTTGAGACTTGACCAGCGCTACTGGAGACTTGACCAGAGCGACTTGAGGCTTGACCAGAATTATCGAGACTTGACCAGAGTGACTTGAGACTTGTCGAGAGTGTCTTAAGGCTTGACCAGAGTATCTTGAAAGTTGACCAGAGTGACTTGAGACTTGACCAGATTGCCTTAAAATTTGACGGTGACTTGAGACTTGACCAGAGTGACTTAAGCTTGACCAGAGTGTCTTGAGACTTGACCACAGTATCTTGAGACTTGACCAGAGTATCTTGAAAGTTGACCAGACTGACTCGAGACTGGACCAGATTGCCTTCAAATTTGACGGTGACTTGAGACTTGACCAGAGTGACTTGAGATTTGACCAGAGTGTCTTAAAAGTTGACCAGAATGACTTGAGACTTGACCAGAGTGACTTGAGACTTGACCAGAGTGACATGAGACTTGACCAGAGTGACATGAGACTTGACCAGAGTGACTTGAGACTTGACCAGAGTGATTTTGAGACTTGACCAGAGTGACTTGAGACTTGACCAGAGTGACATGAGACTTGACCAGAGTGACTTGAGACTTGACCAGAGTGTCGTGAGACTTGACCAGAGTGTCTTGAGACTCGACTTTAATGATTCGAGAATTCTGTGAGACTCGAGTACAATTGAGAAAAAAATCACACAAACTAACCCCGTAGCAGCTACTAAGATCCAACTCCTCCAGCTCAGGACATTTCTCTGCCAGTGATATGACGCCAGCATCTGTAAGGTTTCCGCATTTGCAGGCGGCAAAGACCCTCAGCTTGTGACAGACACTGGCAACGGTAAGAACTGCTGCATCACGCACTGCTCTCCAACAGCCATCTAACCTACAAATATATATACATTTTTTTTGAATTCAGCTCTTATGATGGACAAAGACAAGTAGTGCTCCTTAGGTAGTCCTCAAACCTTCTCAAATCCTATAGGGACTCCAAGTATAAATACCTCCCTCTTTAACGGTGAGCTGAAAAACCCTGTTTACTTATAAATGAAATCGGCCACTGGCCTTTCATGACTGCATCTTGTCACTCTCCTTGCATGCTTAACTTGCCCGCAATCATGTTCTTTCGCATATGTGTTCACAATAATAATAAATATAAAGAAATAATAAAGAAAATTTAAACCGCTGATATGAAATGGCCAAGATGTTAGTGCGAGTAGGTGCGCTGGTCTAATTATTGTGCCGTTAGAGGGCACACCATGCACGATCCACTATCTATCACTAGCATCTTGGGCCAAGATTAGAGCAACTACTGCAAAGTGCCTTGCTCAAGAACACAAAGCCACCATGATGTCCAGCCAGATAACACCCAATCACCTCGCTATACTTGTAATCACCTCAGTTCCCTGACATTGGCCGCGTGTTTGACGATGCCTAACAGAAGGTCCTCGGTCACCATGCAATCCCAGGGGGTCAGGTCGATGACCTTTAACCTCTTGATGTAGGTCGTCACCAGGTGGCGCCATGTCTTGCAGACCAGCTTGCAAGAGTTCACCTCCCGGATGGACAGCAGTGGCAGAACATGGTACAAGAAGATCTCATCCGGAAGTTGCGCAGAGTTCATGCGGTTTTCAGTTGCCATGGTTACTGTGCTTGACGCAGGAAGTTCTTGTTGCAACTGTTCGGACTGCATCACATGGAACGGAATGCATGCGCGACAATGCATGTGCGACGGGGCACTGTCTGGAGTGGCGCAGGCGCGGAGTCTGGGAGTCGCAGAGTCTAGTCGCGTAGACGCGGGGCTTTGGATACCCTTTGGAGTGGCGGAGGCGCGGAGTCGTGGAGTCGCAGAGTCGCGGAGACGCGGGGCACTGGAGTGGCGGAGGCGCGGAGTCGCAGAGACGCGCACCGATAGAGGGCGCAATTGCGCACCGATAGAGGGCGCAATTCTCGGAGATATCGACTGAGCTGCGGCTCCACGACTCCACGATCGATTTTCGGAGGTAGGTCGACTGCGGCTCCACGCCTCCACGCAGCCGTACGGAGGCGTGGATGTAGAGTAAAGTGGCCCTGCATTCTATAGTTGTACCGAATTGAGATACGCAAACGTGTGCAAACGAACCTGGAAATTACACAAAATATAGAAGTCTGAAAAAGGAACAATATCGCGGAAGTGGCGTTAGGTATTGTTACAATGTTAGGTTGCAACATTTTTTTCCGTCCAGTAAGTTGGCCACATTATGATTTATCATGTTTAAACAGTTTATGGGGCTACTGCAGATGGTGAGGTGCAACAGTTTACCTCTTTCGCCATATTTTCCTCTGAGACGGGTGATGAGATGAACCAAGATCAACACTGTAGAAATAATCCTACAAACCAGCGACACTGAGATGGAGAGATGTAAAGTGTACCCTCATGGGGTGGGCTGTTGCTACCGAGCGGTCCTACTAAAGCGCGTCAACAAGCGTCAACAAGCGTCAACAAGTTTTAGTAGTCGTTAAGTGCGCGTCAACAAATTTTGTATAGGCTTTTGAACAATAAAAACAGCTTTATATGGTAGAAAAAGCAATAATGAATATCTTCTGCATATCAATTAAAGTTAAAATTATTTTAAAACTTGGTTTTTTGAACGCGAAATGTACGACGAATTTGTCGATAAAAGTAGGCCGCCATCTTGTTTATGTGTAGCTAGCCGTACTACGCATGCGTGAAGTGTAAAGAGCCATACTACGCATGCGCGAAGTCTACAGCGCCATCCAAACAAGATGGCGGCCTACTTTTATCGACAAATTCGTCATACATTTCGCGTTCAAAAAACCAAGTTTTAAAATAATTTTAACTTTAATTGATATGCAGAAGATGTTCATTATTGCTTTTCTACCATATAAAGCTGTTTTTATTGTTCAAAAGCCTATAAAAAATTTGTTGACGCGCACTTAAAGACTACTAAAACTTGTTGACGCTTGTTGACGCTTGTTGACGCGCTTTAGTAGGACCCCTACCGAGAGATGTACAATAGTGTGGTTCACATGTGACTCGTCGTGTTTACGTTTTCTATACATACCGCCCTCTAGTTTATAGGCAAAATGAAAACATGTTCATTCTCCACGCAAGAGGGCCTGCGTTTAAAACTAGATGGGGGCCTGTCTGGGGGAGGGGCATGGTTGTTGGGTGGGCCAACAAATTGCCATTTATCACATCCCCACCCCTCCATCACCCATATTCCCGAAAAAATCATAAGTTTGTGAACAACCGTACTACAGAACTTGTGTCCGAAACCCTATTCATATCTACAAAAATCCCAACACATTTGTTTGGAAAATCTACTAATTCACCATTGCTAATATTCACGAACATTCTAACGCAAAAACGTGACGTGAACAAAAACCGGCACCGGCGTAAGTCATTGCAAATTTTTATTTTTGGTACTCGAGTCTTATTACATAGCCTTCCTCGAGTCGAGTCGAGTCACCAAAATTGTGACTCCAGTCGGACTCGAGTCGAGTCATCGACTCGAGTCATAACTCTGCCGAAATGTTTCTGAAGTGACTTTTCACGACTGCGTGTATAATACACACGAAGTCATGCAAAGTCTCTCAAGTTCAGAAACATTTCTGTCGGACTACACACATGGACTCGGGTTGAGCTTTATTTTGGATAGGCCTACACAGCTGAAAGTAGATTTTAGCTACACAAACCGTTATCTTTGTCTTTTTCCCAGAGGCGTAAATCCTGGGGAATGGGGGAATAGTCGTGTTCCCTAACGTGGCGCACTTCGACGCTTACCCGACTTTCCTCGTGTAGTGTTGCCAAACCTCTTTGTTGACAAACCTCAAATTCATGCAATGAAATACTAGTACTTTTACCTTATCAATGCTTGCTATTTTACCTCTGTGAACAATTTCAGTTTCATAAAATTTAATCCGAAATTTAAAAACGGTGGTGTCCGGAAATTGGGCACAAATTGGCGGAGTGTTCCCTAACGTGGCGCACTTGGATAAATCTTGGAAAATTCCAAATTAACACTTACGAATTCCTGTAAACTTGATAAATTCTGATAAATAATTAATATCTTAACTTACATACCCAGCCAAATGTTTGTCAGAAAATTATTTTCTTATTTTTCAGGGCATTTTCAAAGGGTTCACTTTGCACTTGAAAATATAATCGGAAAATCACGCCAAAATAGCTTTTCCTTCTAACTTTGTTACGGGTAAATAAACTCGCGATTTATGAACAGGACCGTTTAGAACTTGATGAAATTTCACTTTCTGTGAAATTTCAGTTTAAAATTTTGCTCTAGGTAGGCGCTACCGGCGAAAAATCCAAGTGCGCCACGTTAGGGGCCGCGCCACGTTAGGGTACATCAACAAATATCCCCACCCTTTTCGACCGGGGGTAGGGGCTATGGATAATTTGTTCGTGGTGAGAAAAAAAACCCGGAGTCTATATAGTAAAGGGAAAAAAACTATAAAAGCTTTAAAAGCGCCGTTTTTTATGCAAGGTTAAGGGGCGTAATTGAACATAAGATGTACATGTACATCTGTATCATGAATAGCACCCCGTATGTGGTGTCCAGCAAGGCACTCCCCCCCCCCCCCCCCAGCTTTTCGCATTTCCACGGCTGGGCAATTTTTGGATTCTAGTCTATCCCTCCAGTCCCCGGCAAAGCTTTACGCCACTGCTTTTTAAGTCTGCTTTTTTCCTCTACATTTTCTGCTTTTTCTTAGCAGTGACTCTATATAGTTGGCGACGAGTTTCCTTTTTTTCTTAGTAAACTTTTTTTCTCCAGGCAGGCCGGACGTGCTACGTGAGCAATATATGCCGCGCTTTTCAAACTTTTCACGTTTGCACACAACCATTGGATAAAACTTATCATGTGACGAGTGCTTCTAGAAAATTCGTACAGTCGCGACCTCAGGGAAGCTATATTCATTACGTGTGGTTTGACATCGACTGTTGTGATTTTAAGGGCTCGAGGTTGAAGTATGTCGTAATGTAGTAGGGTTTTCCTCGAGTGAGAAATCTCGATCTCACGTGCTCAGCGCATGACGTGAAAAACGTGCGACCGGTCAGACATCACTTCGAATTTCGATCCTTCCACAGTGTCATTTTCTCTTTAAAAGGTTCTATTGAAAGGTATGTTTTAAAAATCCAATTTGAAAGAGAAGCTTATGTTGTTACTTAAATCTTAGTTTCGTACTATTGCCGTAATAAAACGTGAAATTGAGTGGAAACATTAATAATGACATTGTCATTGAGTCTTGTGCAACCCGGCTGTCCGGAAAATGGGGCCAGAAAATGGGCTTTCAAAATTCATGGCTTTGTAAATTCGCAGTGGCTATTGTTACGGCAGCTTTAACGCATTTCCCATTTTCTATCGTTATGGTAGACTGCAACTTTCATAAAAACATGGGAAACATGAGAAGAAGATATAGAATTAGAAGGAAAAAAGTGAATTTGAACGTTATGAAATTCGGACTGTATTTCCCTTTTAATTAAAAAAATCCTCCAAAGCCTCAGGTTAAAAAAGGAAAAAAATTCGAGTGCAAAACTGAGATGCGAACCCGCAACATCGCGGTGTAAAATCCTACCCTCTAATCGACTGAGCTGTCAGTGTCACACTCATGGGCGTCGCGAGGGGGGGGGGGGGGGGGGGGCAAGGGGGGGCACTTGCCCCCCCCTGGAAAAGCAAAAAAAAAAGGCAGTGTATATTTTGCCGGAGACGGCAAACCTTTAGTAAATGTTAGTTTGCCGGATATGCCCTGAACATGCGCAGTTACTGTTTTTTTGTACTTAAACATTTTCCGGTGACAAGTTTTAGTCTGGCTCCATTCCAAAATTATCGTTGTTACTTCGTATTCACAAGATGGGATTCAGACCATTTTATAATTTCGGACTTTATTTCCCTTTTAAAAAAAATCCTCCAGAGCCACAAATCTGAAAAAGAAAATGTAATGCTCTGCAAAAAATGTTTGAGACATGTTAAAATAATAAAAGAAGAATATTCTTATTTATTTGGGGATGAAAAAAAAAAAATTAAAAATGTGGTGCGGTCGGAATCGAACGCGAGTCATCCCGCTTACCAGAGCCTTTGCTTAACCACTACACCAAACATGCTACACAACTTTTGGTGGGAATTTAATACATCTTATAATTCAGCCCTATTTTAAAGAGTACAGCGCCCTCTGTTGATATGGATTGCCGCCGGCAAACCTTTAGTAATCGTTAGTTTGCCGTCATTACCTCCGGCAAAATATCCACAATCAAAAAAAAAAAAAAGAAGAAGAAAAAATAGAAAAAAAGAAAAGAAAAGAAAAAGAGGCGCGAAGACAAAGTGGTGTAGATTTAATGAGTGGGGGGGGGGGCAAAATGTCCCTGCCCCCCCCCCTCTAAAACTGATAAATCGAGAATGTGTTGAGAAATACAAGCATTTTTTGGCAAAAAAAATTTTTGCCCCCCTCTAGAAAAAATCCTGGCGACGCCCATGGTCACACTGCTCGCTAAAAGTGGGGAAACAAATAATTATATACCTGCGTGCGTATCAAAAAGGATCGTAGAGGGCGCTTAACAACGGCTGCTGTAACGATAGCCACTTCGTTGTAAATTGTAACTTTATTTCGCTTGGTTGAAAAAGTCTTTTTTTTCAGTTTTTTTTTTCAGTTCAGTTCATTTATAATTATATGCACTAAAATTAATTTTTGTAGGCCTAGGCTAGGGCTAGGTATGCCAAACACAATTTTAATATTGAAGTGAACTAGTAAACCTAAATACCATTCAGCTTCCGAAGGATTGCCCAAAAGAAACGTTGTTTCTGTCTAGGGGTTCTCCAAACTGAATGGCATACGTGAAAACAACAAGCAATAAATATAAAAAGAAGTTTTAACTATACAAAATAAAAAGTTAAATAAAGTAAGTCAAGAACAAAGTTGGTAAATTATATAATTATTAGACAAACAAATCAAAAGCAAAAAAAAAAAAAAAAAAAAAAAAAATCAATTACATTTGTACTAGGTAAATTAAATGAATAAACAAATTAATATATACATTGTACTTCAACTACTACCACTACTACATGTACTACTACTACTACTTCTATTAATAGATAAATAAATAATTAGACAAGTTGGTAAGTTAGCCTAATTAATTAATAAATTAAATAAATGAGTAAATATTGCATTTTTAATTCTTTAAATAAATAGTTACTAATAAATAAACAAAAATTACAGTTTTACAATAAAAAAAAAAAAGATTCATAAAAAAAAATTTTTTTTTAATTATATGAAGGGGTTGAAGAAGGTTAGATAAATAAGTTCAATAAAGTGTACAGTGTAAAGCAAAGCTTGTGATTACTAATTGTATTAATGAAATTTGAATACTGTAACAAAATCGCTGAAATCAAATCAATATACATCACCAAGCTTTAAAGGGAGAGATAAAAAAAAAAAACATCGAACAACCCATCAATAAATATGTACATAAATAAATAAATACATTAAAAAAAAAAATAAAAAAAAAAATGAGTGCATATTTATTATTCTTTTGTTATCGACAGAAAAAAGATTATTTTAATTATTTATTTGACGGATGTTGATCGATGTTTGACCGATTATTTGTACACAGTAACAATAGGAAGCCAAGATGGCGGCACCCATTTGACATCGCTAGGCTAGGGCCTACTCAGTTTATTGAAAATATGTCACAAGTGAAGTGTAGGCCTAGCACTGTTTTGGTTTGTCTTCTTTAATCTGTCATATACCTTGGGAAGATGATCAAGTTTTTGTTGATTATAACTTTGTCAAATTTCCCAACGTCTTAAATTTTATAGTTTTTAATTGGTTTATTTTTTATGTACAGACGTTTTTTAAAACGATCAACCAAGCATTTGCATATCCTGTGTACATATCCTGGTGTGAGTGTTGGATTAAAAAATTATGTCATCATTAGAATTAATATTCATGTTAATACTCTGACCGTATGCGCTATGGGTGCGTTTACTGCAGTGATCGGCGAAACCCAGACTTGGGCAAGTCTATGTGGGTGCGGCGATCTAGCTCACTGAAGCTGAGGGCCACCGAATTTATAAATACGGTAACAGAACTTAAAATTGGACGATTGAGGGCGTTATTATATAGTTCTGGCAGATTCCTAATTTCGTTGCAACATACAAACCCTATGAGACTGGTCTGAAAATTTCTAAGTGTTTTCTCAGTAAATACTTCCATATTTTGCCTGCTAAATTGACTTTTTAGGACATCACTTTCTGATGGCTGATAGGTCACTGAAGGGAAAAATTAGTGATGGCCAGATCTGGGAATCTTTCCGAATTAGGTCTATCATTTGCATTTTTTTTTTCTTTCAGAAATCATCATGTCTGCTCCAGCCGTTGGTATTGATCTCGGCACCACCTACTCCTGTGTGGGCGTTTTCCAGCATGGCAAAGTGGAGATCATCGCCAACGATCAAGGCAACCGAACCACGCCCAGCTATGTAGCCTTCACCGACACTGAACGCCTCATCGGAGATGCCGCCAAAAACCAGGTGGCCATGAACCCCAGCAACACAGTCTTTGGTAAGGGCTACACAACCCTTAAAAGGAAAACAAAAGAACAGTGAGTTTGAAAAGCACAGTCGTACAAAGAGGGAATACAGATGATATACCATAGGGTCATTCCGATTTCGAAGCAAAATTTGAATATGATTGGCCTATATTAGAAACACCCAGAACTGAAAATTGTGTAGTTTGGCCTGGTTAATTTTTGAGATACGGGTCATCGGGGGATATGGACATCCGCTGAGGGACACGTATGTACAGGTCGAGGTGCACTTGCTGTACATGTACAAGAACGTGTGTAAATATATGCAAATTTTTATTTTTTTTCCTGGACATGCTATCTTTAAAGAATCATAACTTGAAAACTTTAAGAGTGCCCATCACAAATATTTTAAGATTGTTGCTAACTTCATAAACGAACATCTGAAAAAAAATTACGAAATTTGAAGCATATTTATTTTTGTAATTCAAGGTCAAAGGTCTTTTTTTTTTTTTTTTTATAAAGTAGAGGTCATTCAAAGAGCTTTAATATGATGTACAACTTGGCTTTGTGCAATGGTTTTGGAGACCTATACAAGTATTTAAAATTCGGAGGTCATGCTAATTAGTCAAAAGTTCGTTAACCTGTGTCTCAAAACTAATGAGCCAAACTACAAACAATTTCAGTTCTGGGGGTTTCTCATATAGGCCAATCATCGCACCAAATATCGTTTTAATCTGTGAGGGTTGGGTCCAAAATCGTGTTGAATTGACACGGAATGACCCCATATAGCCTGTTTCTCAAGCCCTTAAATCATCTGCAAATACATGAATTTCTTACGTCCGCAAAAAAAGGGATAGAATCAACTGAGTGTATCTTTAAAATATGGGTGCAGCTTGAGTAGAAAAGCATTTAGCAAAGGAAGCATTCAGCATAAGATTCCGACAAAAATCTGTTAACACATACCCTTTTGAATTGCAAGACCATTTTCCTCCATTCTTTGAGGAAAATGGATTACGTGTGACAGTCTTGCCTCCTAGAACTGCTCCTTGAGCCTCCTTTTTTCCCTCTCTCTCTCTCTGACAGATGCCAAACGTCTGATCGGTCGCAAGTTTAATGAACCATCGGTGCAGGCGGACATGAACCACTGGTCCTTTACTGTCATCAACGACGGTAGCAAACCCAAGATTCAGGTGGAGTTCAAGGGGGAGACCAAGAACTTTTACGCTGAGGAGATCAGCTCCATGGTGTTGATCAAGATGAAGCAGACTGCAGAGGCTTTTCTGGGAAAGGTCAGTGCATTTGTTTTCTCTTTCGTGGACCGGAAAGGCCTGCCTATGGTCGTTGAAGCGACTGAGCCACCGACTGACTGACTGGTTGAGATAAAGAATATCTTAAATTGAGGTTCAGCTTGAAGTACTAGAAATAAACCAAGCCCTGCCGGATGTAATTCTTTAGTGTTTAAAGGGAATATACATCATTTGCTTTTGCTGTAATTTTCAGAAATGGATGGAATTGGGGGGGGGGGGGGTGGAAATATATAGCAAATATAGTTACACTGACTGTTTTGAGGTTTTGGGTTCGAAAATGCTATAAAAAACCAAGAAAAACAATCATTTTCCTGTAGTCTGGTTCCCTGACTCCATATAAGAAGAAACAGCAGTTTACATACATTGGGGAATTGTAAGGTCAGGGAACCAGTCTAGCTGGCTTGTACCCGTTCATAGGTGTGTAATCGATTGCAAACAAGTGCGATGGTCAATTGGGGCCAGTGTTTGAAAAAAAAGCCAGTTTTTTTCAACGCTGGTCGGCCGACCAGCGTTGGAAATTGATACAAAAATACCACTTTTCTTGAAAATGACAGTATACCAGGTGCCATGATTTTACAGGATGCTTTACACTGTCATTCACTAACAGTCCAGCAAGGTATTTCAAAATGATTTGGTAGTTTTATTTTTTGATGTTTGCAAATGTTGTATTTTCCCTTTAAGGTTGGAAAAAGGATAGTTAAATGTTTGAGGAGTTTAGAGGCTTGAGGATGGTTCCTAACAAAAAAGGGCCTGGGACTTAGGGTTAATTATGAGGATTCTTTATGTGAACAATTGTTTTGAAGATCAAGTCCTTAGATAACGGCGATAAACTGCATAACATACTTGTGGATTTTTCATCTTTTTGTTGTACCTGACAGACTGTCACGAACGCCGTAATCACTGTACCAGCCTACTTCAATGACTCCCAGCGCCAAGCCACCAAAGACGCTGGCGCCATCTCGGGACTCAACGTCCTGCGTATCATCAACGAGCCCACGGCAGCTGCCATTGCTTACGGTCTGGATAAGAAGGTGAGGGCTCTGACACCGTGTGCACGCACACTCTTGTTTTACTTTACTCCCGAGGACAATGCTTTGTGTTTCCCTTTGTCCCTGTAATATAGCACTCTCCCGTAGACTAAGCTCACAAATTTACTACAGAGGACTGTTTCCAACAAAAGACACACTCTTGTTTTACTTTACTCTCGAGGACAATGCTTTGTGTTTCCCTTTGTCCCTGCAATATAACACTCTCCCGTAGACTAAGCACACAAACTTACTACAGAGGACTGTTTCCAACAAAAGACCCAACGCCCGAGGACTGAAAGGATCTGTTCTCCCTTTGTGTGTTGGTCCTCGGGGGGTCATGTGGAACACGTACATACTGGTTCGCGCCAATATCGCACAAAGTACGCGTGACTAATTTTTATTTTGAATGTGCACAAAGCCCAGCATCTTCGCGTGAGCGTCAGGCGGCGTCAGCAACGCGTTCGAATGCCTCTCCTAGTGGTCTACTCCAACTCTCCCTTTCTTACCGTTGAGTGGGTACCCAAAGCATTTAATAGCTTTTAATGCAATGGTTGAATCAAGGTTGGAATGAGGAATCTTTTCCCTCTGGAGTCTGTGCAGGGACAGTATATGTGATGCGATCAAGCTATATGAGTTGTTTGTCGACCTTGGTCAAAAATTTTTTTATGACAGATTTGAAAAGAGCACAATCTCAGCATTACTGATGTGAAAACCGCATGCTGATACCATCTTTAGTTAAAATATTATGGAAGTCGGAACACTAAGAGATGTGATGAAGTGATGTGATGAAGTGGCCCTATTTTGGCCTGTATCTCCAAATAAAAATTCCCGACAAACGACTCATTTAGCTTGATCGCATCACATGTGGTGCTTTATAACAAGAGTCCAGAGATTCTTAGGGGGAGACACGTGTGCATGCACTAGTTTGCCTGCGCATGGCTGGGGCAAAGTACTTAACGATAATTCATGGCACATGCTGAAAATTGGCCAAGAATGTCAGTAGAGTCGTCTTGGTCAAAATCAATGTGCCAACATCAACGGAATAGCCTTAGTGTCTTCCATTCCAAACCGCCATTGGATGACTGGTCTGGTTCAGGCAAGGGCGAATATTTTGTGGAGAGTAAACTGATGTGACGTGGTATGTCAAAACCAGGCACACTTTGGCAGAACTACGAATGGAGAAACAGCTGTCAAATGATATGGGGGTGACCTTCAGCAATTTTGAGGTTGTTCTTTTGCAAACCAATAATAGGCCAGTTTCTTTGCTTCTGTATGCCTGTACTTACCAGAGCTACTTGTGGGGTACTCATAAAAAGGGACATTTAGGGAACAATGCTACCCCACTACTCACCCTTAGTAAAACGGTACCCCAGAAGTGAAATTCTAAAGAAAAGGGATAAAAGGACAACAATGCAAAAGTACCCTAGAACTCCCATCTGCTGGGATGACCGTTACTAAGGTAATACTGTTTTATAATGACACCTTTTCTGAATAACTTATTTTCACCAAACTCGAAATTTAGGCCTTGTTCTCATTTTGGACATTTCAGACAGTCTGATTTCAAAATTTAATAACTTCGCTTTGGAATTTCCAATTTCAAAACACAAAGCAGCGTTTGAAAGATCAAGGTCTATATGTTACTAGTATTGCAATAACTCCAAATTGACTTCCTGCCCAAATGTGCCTGGTGTTGACATTCCACGTCACACTGGTTACACCTCTATGTTCCGACACCCCTATGTTCCGACTGCACATATTCCTATTCCTAACCCTAACCCTAACCCTAACCCTAACCGGGAGTAACACAATCTAGGTTGTCGGAACATAGGGGTGTCGGAACATAGAGCAGTCACCGTCACACTTGTCGACTGGTCTTGTGACGGACACAGCTGCAACATTTCTGTACACTCCACGATGTGTGTGTCACTCAGCCAAAGTTTTTTTTTGGATGGATAGGTCGGCAAAGAGCGGACTGTCCTGATCTTCGATCTGGGCGGCGGCACCTTCGACGTGTCTGTCCTGGTCATCGAGGACGGCATCTTTGAGGTCAAGTCAACCAACGGAGACACCCACTTGGGCGGGGAGGACTTTGACAACAATCTGGTCAGCCACTTTGTGGAGGAGTTCAAGCGTAAGCACAAGAAGAACCTGACCAGCAGCAAACGGGCCCTGAGGCGACTGCGGACAGCCTGCGAACGGGCCAAGAGAACCCTGTCATCCAGCACACAGGCCAAGTAATGCATAAAACAGTCACATTTCTATTCAAAACAAAAACAAGAGAAATCAAATGAACCGAAAAGAGATTACAATGCAGTCCTTCTGATTTGAGGCGTGCGATCACACCCCCACACCTTCGCACACCTAAAAGCTTCCCGAGAAGTGTGAATAATTGCACGCCTGAATTTCCCTGGACCACAGATCACACACCTAGAAAACCACACACCTAGAAAAAACACACACCTAGAAAAATCCAGGTGTGCCTTTTTCCACACGCCTGTGATTTTCAAAACAGAAGGACTGCAATGATTTTTCAAATATTATGGCATGTTTGAAGAAGATAAAGATGAAGAAGATAAAGATGAAGAAGATAAAGATGAAGAAGATAACGATGAAGAAGATAAAGAGCACAAAAGCTTCCTAAAGGCAGAAGATCCCTGCTTGAGGAGTTGCAGCCACCACCTTATTTGTCCATGGCAAAGAATAACCTTACCATCCTTCCCCGCCCCTCCCTCTCTCTCCAAAGTGTTGAGATTGACTCGCTCTTCGAGGGCGTCGACTTCTACACCTCCATCAGCCGGGCCCGCTTTGACGAGCTGAACGGCCACCTGTTCCGAGGAACCCTGGGCCCCGTCTCCAAGGCCCTCGCCGATGCCTCCAAGGAGAAGAAAGACATTGACGAGGTGGTGCTGGTCGGCGGCTCCACCCGTATTCCCAAGATCCAGAAGCTGTTGCAGGATTACTTTGACGGCAAGGAGCTGAACAAGAGCATCAACCCTGACGAGGCCGTAGCATACGGAGCAGGTGAGATTGAAGTTTGAGGATACGGTGAATTTGTTTGATGGTATATTTTAACAGGGAATGTTTGCTGAATTACTTTTGGACACCATCAGGTGTAACGCATTTCTACAATGCACGCATTGCATTGATCGTATGAGTTTGCCTCCACAGTACCTTATAGGACACTGCAGGAACCATCAAAATAGTTTTCAATTGCAGACACATTCCACATTCACAACCTAACCCTCCGAGACCCTTCAACATTCACTAGAAACTTTTGCAGGATTTCGCAGGGTTGAGGCAGGAGAGCTTGGTTATTGTACTATACATGGCTTTGAACATGCCATTGATTTTTAGCACAGTGGATGGTTTGGAGGTTCGAGAAGGGTTCCTAACGAGAATGTGTAGGGAGTGTAGGTTATTGAAGCAACCTTTTCCATTGGTTACGTGTCCGACTCGTGTGCAATCAACATGGTTCTTGTGTTCTTGGGCAAGACACTATACTACAATTGCTTCTCTCTACCCAGGAGTATAATTGGGTTCCTGTGAGGGTAGAGACCAGATTGCGCTGATCTCGAGCTGCTGCAGAAAACTGGTCTTATCATGGCCTAATTTACAGGGATAAAGCGGTTTTGAGACACTGAAATGTTCTGGGGCATGTGGGAGAGTATTTTTTTGTACTTTTTAACAGCTGAGGGGTAATCGTACCAATCGGTTTCCTTCGCAGCTGTGCAGGCTGCCATCTTGTCCGGCGACAAATCCGAGGAGGTGCAGGACCTGCTTCTGCTGGACGTGGCTCCACTCTCCCTGGGTATCGAGACAGCCGGCGGGGTCATGACAGCCCTGATCAAGAGGAACACCACCATCCCGACAAAGAATGAAGAGACCTTCACAACGTACGCCGACAACCAGCCAGGCGTGCTCATCCAGGTGTTCGAAGGTGAACGTGCCATGACCGGTTCAAATGTAAGTAACTTTTTTCTAAGATTGTACATTTGGCCAGATTTGCGTCTTCTTTCAGTTTGGTTAAATACCCCAGGTTTTCTCACCGCCAACCCTCCTATTTTTGATCATTCACACACAGCCAAAAAATTTCTCCCACTACCCTTGCCGTGCATTTGTATACAGACTAGTCAAACAAAAACAGTCAGATCACAAACATGTAAAAACTGTGACTAGTCAAATTCCATCAACAGACAAAAAAGGTAAATGGTAGGTATAGCTGGCATGACAATCACCTCAAAAGCATGACTATATCAAATTAACAAAAATTACTAACTGTTGGAAACAGTCACCTGATTGATTTTGACTGCTGTGATGGCGTGGCTGAATTTCTCAGTCAGAGAGGGAGGGAAACGGATTACAGAAGCTATGTTCTCCCTCCACGGCCAGCGAGTTGTGTAAATTGCAACAATGAGGGGAAAAAAGTATGGACATTGCAATGACATTTCCCTTTTTAATTTGAACAAACATAAAAATGTGCTAACCAGTGACTTTAACTAGCTAGTGCACCAAAAGGAGTACATTGTCACAAACACTTGTCAGCTTTGTTGGATATTAAGCAACTGTCTAAGAAACAAACATCTGCACGCTGTAAAATTTAAGTTGTATGGTTTGAAGAAGTATTTTGCCGGGATGTTTTGAGTGGATAATTGGTGTTGGAGCCATTGCTCATTTCGTTATGGAAGTTTTCTTGAAACCAGAAGCATTCCGGGCTATTCCATAATGTTTCTCCCATTTTGATTGTGTTGCTCTCCGTTCCAATCTCTTCCTTGTGCAGAATCTTCTCGGCAAGTTTGAGCTGTCTGGCATCCCACCTGCCCCCCGAGGTGTCCCGCAAATTAACGTGACCTTTGACATTGACGCCAACGGCATCTTGAATGTGTCCGCCGTCGACAAAAGCACGGGGAAGTCCAACAAAATCACCATCACAAATGATAAAGGTAAGGTACCCTAATCCGTATAACTTCATCGCGATTTTTCAAGTTAGCCGAGAAAACTCTGCATTGAGTGCATTGGAAGATGTATACCCAATCGGCCAAAACTCTCAACTTGGTAACATCATACACGGAGGGTGCTCATTTACTTATTTCTCAAAGCATGTGGCTACGATAAAGTCCACGCAGTAAACGGTAGAGATCGAAAGCATCATTAGAAGAACATTCTTCCCATTGCAACTCAGGTCGGTTGTCCAAGGAAGAGATCGAGAGAATGGTGGCCGAGGCCGAGAGGTACAAGGCCGAAGACGACGCCCAACGCGACCGCATCACCGCCAAGAACGGCCTGGAAGGCTACGCCTACAACATGAAGTCCACCGTGGAAGACGAGAAGTTAAAGGACAAGATTAGCCCCGAAGACAAACAGACCATCCTGGATAAGTGCAAGGAGGTTCTGGACTGGCTGGACAGCAACCAGGTAGGCTGGGGTGATTCTGGAGAAAAAAAACCCACAAAAAAAACAAAAAACAAACAAGGCAAATGTAGTGAAGCTGTTAAACCCAGAATGGCTTTTCACTGGAAATCTTGTCATGAGTGCGGTCTACGTTATAGCTTGGATTTAGCCCATTCAGTGTCATTACCGGGGAATCCTTTATGATAGTATACAAATATTGAGTGGCTCGGAGTGAAATTGGAAGGAATATTATCGTTTGGTGTCATTTGATATATTTGAACTTTTATTTCACTACAAAATGGATGCGAAATGTATTTCTCTCTTCTGAACCACCCCTTCGCGAAAATGTTTGAACCGAACTCTGTAGCGCTGGCTCTTTGGAACAATACGCGCTACGCACAACGCTGAACCAGCATGCATTTGCGCACAAATACCGCGTCATGGAACAAGCATCGATCCTAACTGTTCCTTAGTATTACCTATTCCACATGGGCGAGTGGGACTTTTTGAGCCCCGGCGTGAATGGGAGTAATAACGAATGTCACGTGATGTGAGTTCCACCAATCAAATTACAAGGATCTGTATGTCTGTTTTATAGCACCGCCTGGCTCAATTCACCCCTCCACAACAAGTCAGTCAGTCGATCAGTTAGCGAATCAGTCAGGCAGTGAGATAGTACAAATAGGCCTCTGGAATCAGCAGAAAGGTCTTAATTAAAAGGATCTTGATGAGCAAGCAATTATTAGTCAGTTATTTGATTACCCGATAGTTGTGTTTCGTTGTTCGGTAATAATTTTTTCACTTCACTTTTATCGAAAAACTGAATTTTCCCATATTTGTCGTGTACATAGAGCAGAAATACCATACGTACATATGAATACTTCATTAGCCATAATTCCAAAATCGTTTGACCTATAGTCATGAAATTTCTTGGGTATGTTCATGATGAGTTGCTCTATGCATGTACCGAGTTTCAAAATTTTTCGTCGCTCGATGGCGGAGATCTGGGGGGGGGGGCAAATCCCCCCCCCCCCCCCCCCAGGCTAAGAGATGGTAAAAATAACCCGGCCCTTTTAGGGTTAAACCAAACCAAAAGGCCGGAAAAAAAACCCCCACAAAAAGTCATGTGTGAAACGTACACCTGCCCAAGGAATTTGGATGAACCAAAAGATCGATAAAGAAAATGCTTAATTGATTGAGAAAAGTAATATAAACATATGGGCCTTGATTGTCGTGAGAGGATCTGTTATGATGTCAGCAGATTGCTTCCACAAGATGAACGATACTTGGTCAAATCCGTTTTCTGTACATTTTTGTTAACAGACGGCAGAGAAGGACGAATTTGAGGATCGTCAGAAGGAACTGGAGGGAGTCTGCAACCCCATCGTCACCAAGCTGTACCAAGCTGCAGGGGGTGCCCCAGGGGGTATGCCCGGGGGTATGCCAGGGGGTATGCCGGGGGGTATGCCTGGGGGTGGATCCGATGGTGGTGCCAGCAGCGGTGGACCGACCATCGAAGAGGTGGACTAAAATTTTACCTAAAAGTTTACGTGGCATCCCAAAAATCAACCATTGGAGACTCAACTCAACAAGTGCATTTTGAGAAATAAAAAGTGTGACGAAAATAGTTTCACCGATTTAGAATCTGACGTGATAGGTCGCCTGAATGAAACCTTTAGTATTGTCTTGCCCTCTGCATAAATATATTACAGAGATTTCTTCTTTAGTTTAGGCTTATCCTTTCTTTGTGACTGAATACTGCCGAGGTGCTAAGAAGAAAACACGAAGAAAAAAAATGAAATTGCCAAAATCCATTATATTAAAGCCTCATAAGGGTTTGGATTATATGCAAAATGTGTTATTTTACATGAATTAGGCGATCTTTTGCGGCTTATTTTCTTTGCCTTGGGTTATTGAAAGGACCATCCAGTCTTAAACGGATAAGATGTCACAACCAGCATATTATTTAGAAAGAGTTTGGTTGTTTTGAAGTCTGCTTATAGAATGTTCGAACGTATATATCGCAAACTATCTGAATGTTACCAAAAGACTATAATAAATATGATTTCATAGTGATGAACGATGGGGTTTAACCCTTTAGTCAGTGTAGTGCCCGAAACCGCCCTGCCTGTTACTCACTGTACCGCCCAAAACCGTCGGAGGACTCTAATGATCTTATCGATTCTTCAGTGAGTAAACGCAGTGCAGGACATGTACTAATGGTTAATTGAGCTATCTAGTAGCCAGTGTTTTGGCATTTACAGATTGGAGAACATTTAAATTTTGTGAAAATTCTGATGGATTAGGCTGATCTCAAACCCCCAAAACAACTCTTAACTGTATGGCGGGTCTAATAACTTGCTTCAGCCGAGAAAACGGATACAAATTCAGCTATTTTTTTAACCTTGTACTTCAAGAAGATGTGTATAAATTACCTGTAATTGTTTTTTCTTGCTTTATTATTTGAGTCAGTTCAGAATGACTAAAACTCACTGAAATTTGTTTACATACAATTACAGTCGAGTCTCGTTAATACAAACTCGTTCGGACCTAGCCAAATTGTTTGTTATATCAGAATTTTGTATTAAGAGGAACATCAGTCCCATGCATTGTGCACATAAATGCACAGTCGGGACCAAGGGTTTATGTTTGTTATAACCAGAATTTGTATTAACAGAGTTTGTACTAACGAGAGTCGGCTGTACATGTATAATTATAAATAATACATATTAAATTTATATGATTCATTAGCCCCACATAGTATGGAGTGATAGATTTAATTGTTATCACTAAAACAATTATAACAAAGTGTTCACATGGAGCTAAAAATCAGTTTTGATGTTTTTGGATGGGTACAATATTAAAAAAAAACCCACAATTGTGCACACTGTTCTGTTTCTTATCGAGGGTAAATGATTTCATTTGATATTGCGTGTGTAAAAAACTAAACTTTGAAATGATTTTGCTGAGAAAATTATTTGCCGAGATTTCTCCGCCTTCAGTTGAGCAGGACAACTTGCTTTTCTCTGCTATTTTGTCCTGTTCATGTAAGCAAGAGAGATGTTTACATGCATGAAACACAAGATTGTGATTGGAAGTTTGGGGGTTTTTTTTAAACCTTTTTCCAAGCAAATGTATAACATTGGATGTAGATCTTATTGTTGACTTTAATGCAAGTAATTTGCTGCTGTTAATTATTTTGGTTATACATGTACTTGTAGTACTTAGCGATATTTGCTTGTAAGCCTATGTTTACCAGTGATTCCGAAGCTTACATAATTGAGACATTTTAACAACTGAGATGGAATCCATGTAATTGACATTTTAGGGGGAAGCTGATTTGTCAAGAGTGCAATTTTGAGACTTTTACTACATTATCCATGACAAAATTTCGAAACTAAAACAAGAAAATTGTGAAGTGTTTTTGTTTTTGAATTAATCTGATTGAGTTGCACATGCGATTGAGTTGTACATTTGAAGGATTAAAGCTTTATTTCAGGAAGCAGAATTCTGATATTTCCTTTGAGATCTAATAAATTGATTGAAATTATTGTTACTTTTCTAATTCTGTGGCAATTCCCCCGTTCTCCACTTTATTGTTAATTTTTTTTGCTAAATTAGACCATAGAGCAAGGAACTGATTATATGATTAGACCATAGAGCTACATGTATGTAATTTAATATAGCTCTATGGATTAGACAGACAATAGTACTTTTGCTTCTGTCATTGGTGTGAAATAAATAAAGTTACAGAAATACTTTTACAAAAACGGTTTTTGAGTGTCAAAACTTCAAACACAGAAAGGGACAAAAATGTAATTGAGTGAGGAAAATAATGTCTCTCTAGTCGATCGAGCTGCCACAGTAGCCTACCACTAATAGATCGTGGTATGAACTAGGGACCGCAAGGTCTCTGGTTCAAAATTCGCCTGTGCCCAGTTTTTAACGACTATTTTTATTCTCCAAGTTTGTTGTTGGGATAATTTTTACTTGACGGAAAACAAAACTCCGAGAACTTAAATGTCTTCCACATTTCATGTCAATACTGTAGTATGCGTCATGTATGCGTCATGTATGCGAAGTTATTTTATGTGTGCTGCAGAAGAAAAACTTGAGGTTCGAAGTTGCTGCGGCGCCCTCTATAGTTCATGATAGGTAATATAATTAGTCGGGTTACCCAGCTGCAATATATATCATGGTTAATCGGGTATGTTTCGTCTGGGTACACGCACCATAACGGAATCGGTCAGTTTTCCCGTTGCGAAGGTAATTACCGTGTCAACGACTGTCTAAATCATAAATGTTTTAGGTAATATTTATAATTCGGCGACTTTGCGGTATTTCTTGTAGCGTAGGCTACGGTTTTGATGGAAATTCGCTATTCTGATACTGATAGTAATTCTCCAAATAAAAGGGAAAAGAATGCATTGTATTCGTAACGTCGTTACTCGAACTCGTTAGTAAATCCAGCACGCACGGCAGCAGTTGATCGCAACTTCAGTTGAATTTCCCTTCAGTTCAGCGGTTGTGTGTCGGTAAGCTGTGTGTCATACTCATACTCATAGCATTAGCAAGCATGGAGAGTTCTTGGTTCTTGGTTGGTTCTTCTCCTAAATACTCCACGTGGGAGTTTATACAGGAGACCAGAAACACCGGGGCAAACCCATTCTCTTAGCGATAAGTGTTTACTGGGTTCTTTTACGTGCATTTTGTGGTAATTCTAGAATAATCATGATAATAGAAGGCAGAAGGCTGCTCGTCATACGCGTCAGCCTTAACTAAGTTCTATTTTGTTATAGGCCTAGGCCTACATGTATGTAGCAATACTCAATAGAATCAGCATGATGATTTTTCGGGGGTCAGTTCGCAATGGCTTTTGGAAATGCACTTTGATAGACGAAATTCCTTTGTCTGTAATTCCAATTTCTGAACACAAATCCATCCAAAAGTTGCTATGATTGATCCATAACTCTGAAATATTTCAGAGCGATTGACATTTGGATCATGGGACAATTTTTTTGGTGGAAAATCGGAGTAATTGCAGAATACCCCGCCACTCGGAAATACACCCCTAAAATCTCTGGCTAGCGGTTGGAATCACTGGAAAAGAAACAACTCAAGTCCATTGCCAGCTACGGGGATACTGAGTGGGGGTCCCCTTGAGAATGAAGCAACACAAAAGAAATTGGGGTTGCTGAAAATATTCTAAGTCCAAATTCTAAGGTAGTACTGACAAGGTTTGCTGAGGGCAATCAACTGTGACTCCGTAGCCGGCTACGAGGTGCAGATAGATCGAGTGGCGGGGTATTCTGCAATTGTGCCGGAAAATCTGAGTTTTTACTCACCAGCCTCGCGTTGTCGATCTGACGAATACAGCGGTCATGTTCATGTGTGTTTACGATCTTTGCGTGACCTCAGCAGGTCAACTCTACATTCGGCTTGACCATTTTGGATGGAGGGGGGATTGCATGCTTGGCATCGCGCAACACTACATGTACGTCATTTCGGCGCCCTGAATACGCTGTGCTGTATCGTTACAAGTTGTCGATTTTGGTGGAGCGTTTTAAAATTTGACAAAAAAGGGATGACAAGATCTGTCAGTAAACAGTCCACCAAGACTGACAACATGTAAAGTTTCCACCTCAGTTGGATTAAGGTTCTTGTAATGATGATCGTTGCTATTCCAATATCTGTTCTGAGAAATTGTCTGGATCTATGGCGAGTCGAGTGCATTTTCAAAGCGTTTTCTAACAAAATCGGAAATGTTTCTCAGTTCCAGATTCCAGGATGGAGACTGCGGATGAAACGTTGCGGCAGCAGTTCCAGGCGCTGCAGGAGCAACAGCAGCGGAAACTGACGAGACGGAAACAGAAACAGGAGGAGAAGAACAAGAAGGAAGCGGCCACCAAGGAGCAAGAGGGGAAGGGCGGGGCCAAGAAGAAGAAAGAGGGGGAGGAGTTGGGCGGCCTTGGGTTGAACGATGACCTAGATCTGAAGGTCAGTGAATTATCTACTTTCTTACAGTGCTGGTCCGATCATGAGTATTTTAGAACCTCGGGTAATTTCTGACCATGTTATTGTGCTAGATTTCTATTTTGGACAGGCGCTTCTTTGGAGGATGGTCATAGACATTTGAACGATCACATTTTTGCTTGAAGAAGGAATCCCGCATGTGTTTTTATTAACCCCTTGGCTTTTAAACTAGAAAGGGGATATTGCGACAGCGTATTCCTTCTGTGCGTGTATACATGGCTTTACGATAGAGGACAGACACACAAAGGGAGAACAAAAGAGCAATTTAGTCCTCGAGTGTTGGGTCCTGTTTTGAAAATGGTCCTCAGTCATACAGTTATGTGCTTAGTCTATGGGAGAGTGACAAAGGGAAACACAAAGCATTGTCCTCGGGCGTATAGAAATTCACAACTGTGTGTATGTGTGTTCCATTTTGGTTAGGTTAACTGTTTTAGTGCTGTCACATGAAAAGTCAGACTTCAATCTCGACCAAACTTGGTGACAATTATCTTTGGGTAGGGGACCCCAGACGACCTGTGACATGTCAGGTCAAAGGCCATCTAGGGGTCAAATGAGGTCATTGTCGATTCCGGATAGGTAAACAATGAAGTGCTGTCACATGAGAAATGAGACTTCAGTATCAACCAAGCTTGGTGACAATCATCTACGGGTAGGGGGACCCCAGATGACCTGTGACATGTCAGGTCAAAGGTCATCTAGGGGTCCAATTAGCCATGCCAGGGGGATAAGCAAGTTTTAGTTGCTGTATTTTTATATATTTTAAAAACACTCTCAATAAACGGTTTGATAAATCACTTTAGAATAGAGCTTACAATGATGACAAATTGAAATTGGAGCAAAAGCTACACTTTATCTTACAGAGCCTATTTTAAAAGCTGTGGCTGAGGCACTTGTTGCTCATTGTTGTACAAATACAAAATTGTATTTCAGGCAGGTGGTTTTTTTATCACAAAAATAATTATGTTTATTCACCGTTCGTTGATGGACGCATTTTGTTTATTCCAGTTGAGTGAACCGGTCTCCAATGATACAGCGTACAATGAGGAGTTGAACCAACGTCTCAATGAACAAATCAGGGTAAGAATAATTGGATTTTTTTTAAAATCTGTATCAATACCGCACAAAACATGGTAAAGGTTGCCAGATGTGGGACACTGCATTCCAAAACTTGATTTACAAGCACAGAATGCAATAGCTTGAGCGAATCCACAAATAAGATTTGTTGTTTCTTATAAGTTTAATTCCTGTTTTCCATCAAAAATGAACTCAGAAAATTTTTTGGGTCAGTTTTCAATGAAATTGGAAATTTGTTTTTATAACTAGCCAACAAAACACTCTGATATCTTTATTAACAACCCTGGTTTATATAGGCAAACAATGCGATTTAAAATCCACTTGTTTTTTTTTAAAAGGGCCTTGAAAAGGACTTTGTTGAATATTTTTAACTGAGGTTTTATCGCTGGTGATGTTTGAACACAACTGTGAAAACGTTTTGGAAAATGGGTCAGGCTGCCATTTTGGAAAAAAAACATGGGCCTCCTTCTTTTTTTGGCAAAAAGGCAGGATGCTAAACATTGGCCTGAATCAAATAATTGAATAATTGTTGCTGGCCTCGGAGGGAGGGAGGTGCTATCAATAATATCTGGTGGTTAAGAAAACCAAGTTTTCACCTCTTTACTGTTCCATTCAGGAGCTGAAGGATGAGACGGGGAGGTTGTACAAACTGCTGAGTGAGAGAGACTACGAGATACGCAAACTCAAGAAGCAACGAGAGGAAGATCGGCTTGCACTGGGTGGTAAGTACGCTACACAAACAAAAACTGGGGACTTTGCTTCCAGAATTTTACTTTAAAAATCCCTAACCATGGATTGTGCTTCATTTGTAACAATAAATCAAGCCATTCGCTCTGAAATACTGCGTTGAAGTAGAGGGGCTTGTATATATAGAGTTCCGATTGTGTGACGAAAAATTTACCATGTGACCATTCGGTATCCCCGTATCCCCAAAGGAAAAAATAGTCTGGTCCCTTTTTGTACAAAAAACCCCCAAACGTTTTCATTCAGTACTGTTATTGGATACAAGGAACGTGACTGAAATGGTGGCAGCATCATGATAAAGGTCTATTGTCTAGTTAAAGTTGAACTGAGCAATTGACCGGGTTTGAACCTGCAACTTCCAGATTGCCGTTTCGGTGCTCAACCAACCGAGCTTTTCAGCTCTGTGTTGGCGGTTCCCCATTTAGCCAGTGTCTTTGTTCAAGGGATGCTTGTATTAATTGCGGTTCAACAAAGGTATTGTGTTTCGCTTGTGACTGTAAACATACTAATGAAATGCATTCTAGTCTCTACGTGTTATCAAATTAAAAAATAATGACAACAAAAATTGGCAAAGAAAACCGCCAGCGGGTGGCTGCTGTCTTGCTAGTGCGTCAACCTGTTGCCATGCCAACATCCCAGCTTTGTTATTATTTCTATGATGAATTGAATTGGGACTGTGGGACTGTGGAAAGAGGAAATTTTTTTTTTTTAATTTTTTTTTGTTGGTCTGAACTGTTTCTGAGATGTAGACACACAAGCCAGTTTTACTGCAAATTGACCTGAAACCTCGCGTCAATTAAGAATATCAAACTCGGTAAAAATTTCCAAGGTGTTTTAATTTATACCAGACTGCTAATAATACACATCTACGAATTCAGTATGATGCATGCGTTTGAGCACTTATCAAGGCAAGGAGTATGACAAGCACTGGATTAGAAGTGCTTTGGAGTATATATATGACATTTAAAAAAAAGAAATTTGTCCCCTCTATGCTGCAAATAGCAACTTACAAAGAAACACTTACATAGTGTATATCATTTACTCTATAATATAATTAGGAACAGAACGTGTACAGAATACGTATGCTGCTCGGAAAGAGTCCCCTATTCAATCACCATTTTACGTGATAATTTTACCAGACAGGTCTACATTGATACATTTCAATACTTTGATGTGAGTTGTGTACACTGCTGATGGTGTTAATACTCGGTTAATACTCAGCGCTAACATGAAAGCGAATTTGTCATGTCAGGGCAGGTTTTCACGCTGCAAATTCACAGCAGTTGTATATTTTCAAAGTGTGACAAATTTCGCAGCGAATGCTTTGTGACTTCAAATGTGCACTGCTTTTGTGTGAAGTATGAACCGGCCTTGAAACTACCATGATTCAGTGTGTGTTTTTTAGTCACATGTGTGAAGTTGATGTCAGACACATAACGCCTGCAAAGTTATGGAACGTCTGTTACAACAAAAACACGATGTTTCCATAACATCAAAGTAGATTTTTTTTTAGATATCATCGGTGTTTTTAAAGATACAAGCTCTATCTACCACAATGTAGTTACTACATGAAATTCTTGCAAGACACTTCACAGACCTGTTCGTACTGCAAGTACATGTATAAACGTGTCAGAATGCTTACCATCCGTAAAAGTCGTTTACAGTGCTAACACTGTATTTTAATTTGTTGTTTCAAATCTTGTCCGTACACTGCTCAGAACATTTTTCTTGCTTATAAGAAAATAAAGCTCTCAAAGTAATGTCTGTTGCAATAGAATTACATACAGAGTACTGTTACCCTACTTCATCACAATACTTTTATACAGTACAAAAACCTGGCAATCTGGCCTTTACCTACATGTACATGCACTTGGCTACCAAAATTCATGATTCTTACTACCGGTACTTTTTTTATGCTTCATACATGAAAAAAAAAAAATTCTTTTAAAACTGTCTATTAATAATAGTACAGAAGTAAAAAAACCGATGAGATTTAGATTTAATTTTTTTTATTTTCACACCAATCGTGGCCCTGAGGCCAAATAGAAAGTGTGGTACATGCAATAAAAGAATAAACAATTAACATTGTAGTAAATAATAATAGGAATATATGAAATAAAACAGTGGATACTAAAAAAATTAAGACAAAAACGATAAGAAGTATAAACGCCTCCCTATATTCACAAACACTGAAGAAGAAGAAATAGTTATGGATTGTGAATTATTTAAAGTGTCTATAAAAAAAGGGGACTTGGCTTTCTTATCATCTCATCAATTGATGTTTCTGCACTGATTTGCTGGTGGGTTTCTCTCTTTCTCTCTAAATCTGAACATTTTTGTGAAATGCCCATTTTGTTTTTGCAGTGTTTTGCAAAGCAACATTTCATATTTTCTTTGTTGATGGCTTTCAAAAACCAGTTTCACCGTCTGCCTTTCCAACAAACCAGAGAGTAGTCTTTTCATGAGTTTTTAAAGAAGTTGTTCCTTGTTTGTTCTGTGTACATTTGAGCATCACTGTCTGCCTTTGCGACAAATGAGCTTTTTGGCAACCTCTCTGAAAGTTTTGTTTCGCCAGCAATAGATGACTGTGTTGAGCCAGGAATTGCAGTTGCTAACACTTTCAACGAAAATGAAAATATACGGATTTGCGTTTGCCAATAGTGCTAAGTTGGCTAACCACGTAATACAGACAGTGCTTGTGATAATCAGAAATGTTTTGAGAGACTTGACATTTGAGCGATGCAGCTGAACCTGTGCATCTTCAGCATTGATCTCAGCTGCTGCTATACGCCGTGCCTGATGCCTGGCAATCAAAACCAATTTTCCATAAAGGAAAAAAACTAGCAAAATAAGTGAAATTACCACAAAACAAAAGATGGTTTTAAACATTGAGTTTAAAACATTCAGCAGTTCCACATCCTTCACTAAAGTTATGCAAAGAAATGGAACAAAACAAAGTACAGTTGCACATGTCAAGACAATATAAGCTCGTCTTTTGGTGACTAGAGTTTGCAGTTTGAAAGGTTGTGATACTGCTATGTAGCGGACCATGGTAATCATTGTTAAAATGCACAACCCCAGCAGCTGACAAAATCCAGCTAAGTGAAAAAATTCCTCTGTACAAATTTGCAGTATGATCAGACCTAGCGAATTGAGTATGCCAAAGAAGCCCACTCCAACGTCGGTGATCGTTAGGGCTACCACCAGCAGCTTAGTGACGTCATGCATGTCATGAATGCGATGTAACACCAACAGAGAAAACAAGTTGCAGATTAAGGAAAATACACTGATTACACAAAGAATAGAGGCGTATATTAAAGAACTCCTGGAGTCCAACTGTACATTCAGCAAGTGGAAACAATTGTCTTCATCCACATCGCTTGTGTGTGTAGAATTTCCATACAGTTCTGACACGTTTGCCATTTCAACAGTCCGTGATATTCTGTGTAGAGGTAGAATTGAGCTTGCCGGGCACTTGACCAATCTTTTTAGAGACAGACAGTTGTTGGTTCCAGCATAGAGCTCTATGGTTCCAGATACCGGTAAATGTTGAAAAAAATAAAGAAGATTTTGCTCCTCGGAAAGGTAGTGTAAATAAATAGTTATTTTCTTTTGTAAATATCAAAATCTGTTTCTGAAGATTTCCTTTTTTTTTTATCAGGGACGTGTCCTAGAAACATAAATACTTTGTTAGTTGAGCCCAGCTTATGACACAGTAGAAGAGCTAAGAGTTCAGTGTAGACTTTTGAAGTCTTACATGTGTGTCATTGAAATCCACCTAGCCCTGACTCAGTTTGTTCACATTGCACCGGTAAGTCGTGGGTTCAAGACCCACCAGGGCAACCTCGTGAGGTTCTTCACTCAAAATCCCGGCCAGTGGCACACTATGGAGGAATTTAGGAAGGTTATGGTGGATCACCAGTTCTAACACTTGACCACCAATTGTTCCTGCATTCACTCGTTGATACCGATATGTAGTTTTTCAATTTTGATTTCAAATGCGACAGAGTTATGGTGCCTCTATCAATTTCATCTGATGATTTCACGCCAGATACGTCAAGACTTCCAACTTGTCATCCAATAAAGTGTCACTCCATGTGAATTTTATCAGATCATCAAGTGGTTTCCAGAGCTGTGCTGCTAGAATTGCTCTTCCAGTGTCTCACCCAAGCGGGTATTTGACACCAACTGCAGATGCACACTGAGACCTGATAACCGTGTACAGTCTCCATGATCATAACAAGAAGACTGCATCATCAAATACAGTTTGGCGTGATTAGAGGAACGAGCTCATTGTTGACACGCAGTCAGAGCATTAACAAGGAGCATGCACACACTGCCAATCAATCTCAATAAAATCATGTTTTGATTCAGTTTTTAGGCAATAATCTTGTCAGTCAGAGCTGTTTACAAAGTTTTCTAAGATGTGAACGCTCATTCATTTGATGCTGTAGTTTTTTAAATTCCTGTTGAAAGATGCAGTGTTGGTGTATACTGCAGGTATAAACCAACGTGTACACCGGTATAAAGTTGTACTGCATCTATCAATTTCATCTGATGATTTCACGCCAGATACGTCCAAGACTTCCAACTTGACATCTAATAAAGTGTCAGTTCATGTGAATTGTACCAGATCATCAAGTGGTTTCCAGAGCTGTGCTGCTAGAATTGCTCCTCCAGTGTCTCACCCAAGCGGGTATTTTTCACCAACTGCAGATACACACTGAGGCTTCACAACCGCGTTCAGTTACACTTGCCACTGTGCCAGAACCAAGAAAACTGATCATCATCTGCGTCATTTTGTGATGGGACTGGGAGGAAAGAGCTCATTGTTGGCACGCAATCTGCTCCTTAATGAACAACATGCACACACACTGCATCATCATTAATCTTGTCAGTCAGAGCATCATCTAAATCACAAATTAATGAGAGATCCTAGTAGCCTTTGCGGGGAAATCACTGCCTTGACTTTGACAAC